TGCAAATGGACGAGGATTTCTTGAAATTCTCTTTAAACAATGAAAATGGCTGTCGTCTGGGTTGTTACGCCGTGTATAGCCTGGGGGAAAAACTGTTGTTTCAGATGCGTTTACTGCATCCATCGTCAGGACGATCCCTATGATAACTTTAACACAGTGTTTACTACGCCGCCTCCTGGTTTCCCAGGAAGCACAGGGAGCCAGGAAACTGAATGACCTTATAGTGTTCGCCGTAAAGGAACTTTGTGATTGAATTATTGGCACTCCTGCTATGTACACCTGAGGTCCCAGATTCCGTCTCCGGCCCGGAGGTTATTCTGAGGGAGGATTTTTGCGTTTTTATTTTCAGTCTCTTTAGCCAAATGCAGGAATACCACTTTTAAATAGGCCACTCCCACGTATTTTTGCTCCTTGAGACTCTGATAGTGCAATTTCTATGGAACCGGAATGTTCAGTAAGCGTCCAGATGGAGACAATCGATTTGTAGCTCTAGGGACGTTTTTAGATTATTATCGACTTCAGTCCGGAGGGGAATACATTTGAAGTTTTTAAGTATTAATATTCATAGGACATAAGTCTGTGCCTTCTTCCTGTGGCAGAATGCTGCTGTTTCCTATGCTACAGTATGGAACGTAGTTATTACGTTGCTAAGCAACGGTTCGGTTGCCAGGTGGCGTCTGTGAAACAGTTGAATGGCAAACAGATTCTTGATTCCGTACCTCGGGACAAAAGAATCATGTTTGCTGTAAATGCAGTTTTGTTAGCAAAACAAAAGAAGCAAATCTTATAACGAGGCGACAATTGAAAGAAAGCAACTAACAAAGTTAGCAAAGTAAATGTTCACAGACACACATACAAGGTGACAAAGGACAATGAACGTAGCTAACTACCGGAAATAATAACACTTTTTTCCCCTGTGTATTTAATATTGCTACTCCTCCCACTGTTCAGTTTCTTTTCTGCGATTTCTTTGTCATCGAAACGTGAGAGTGGTAGCAGTCTTATAACGGTTAAGCTGGCAACACTGATGTTATCAGCCCCCAACAATGGGATTCTGCAGCCAGGGCGTTGGCCTTCACGTAACGCTGTCAAAACTTTGATAAACTAGCGTCTGCTGCGACGAGGGGGTTATTGGACAGAGATGTCAGGCTTGTAGTTTTATTTGACAAAAATATGTGACAAATACAATTAAAATTATTTAGGAAATGCGTAAATTGTATTTGCGAGGTGTGTGTATGTCAGACAGCGTTCTACAATGTCCGATTTGAGCTTCGCGTAAAATCTAGTATTATCATTGCTAAAATGGATGTCCTGCCATCTGTTGGTGTTTTAACTGAACCATCAGCTGCATCCTTTAATATGAATTGCTATAAAAACAAAATCTTTTCCTGACATCAAAATGAATACGAAAAGGAAAAAGTGTTTTAATAAAATTAATTCCCCCCCACCAAGTCCACAGACCTCACAGACCACCACAGAAACGAATAAATAATTTAATGAATTTGGTGTTTGCTTGTTTTAGGTGTGGATGTAACAGCGAATCAGGATGAGATTTCTGACCACGAGACCTTCCAGCTAGAATTTGATGCGTCTACCAAGCGGTGGTACATTCGTACCATGCAGGACCGCTACTGGACCCTGGAAACTGGCGGTGGCATCCAGGCCTGCGGTGACAAGAGGTACATTAAGAGGCGATTAACACAAGCGTTAATTTTTAAATATTGGCGAAGAGCCACGCCATTGTAGCACCGAGCAGTCGTCGAGTACAGCGAAATTAATTAGACGTTTATCTCATTTTAGTCTGAACGTCGTGGTTCAGTGGTTTAAACTTAGGAGGCCACGAAGGCCATTACCCTGGCTGAGGTTTTCCTCTTACTGGGTGGTTTTCCCCCAAGCAAATCTCAGGATAGACTTAACATAGGTGTTCATTCTGCTCCATTTCATTTTGAAACTTCTTAAAAATGAACAGAGCACAGTATTACGACCAAGTAGACTTACGCCCAGTTACGCAGAACGAACTCAAATGTAACTTCTTTCTTTATATTTGACATTTGCTGAATCCGACTGGTTCCGCACATATTTGCTTGTGAATTGATGTTGCGACAGCATCCGAACGTGAAATGCCTTGTATTCAGGTCTTCCAATGCCCTCTTTGACCTGGTTTGGCAAGGCGATGGCTCCGTCGGTTTCCGCGCAAACAATGGCAAGTTTGTGTCCACCAAGCGCTCCGGACACCTGTACGCCAACTGCGACACCGCAGAAAACAATTCCAAGTACTTCTTCTATCTCATCAACAGGTATGGCCGCTCACTCTCTGTGTCCACAAGACACAGCGTCAAAGGCGAAGGTATTAAGATGAGAGCCTTCTGGAATATTTCACCCTGAAGGTAAAGGCAGTAAGCACCTACGAAATGTCAGTCAACATCTGCGAGACTATACGGTGCAATATCCCAGAAGGCTGTTAATCTTGCTTTGTTTTATATAAATGACACGAAAATATTTTGTCACGAGCTAAAATACATTACACAGTAGCTGTATTGCTTGCTGTGATAACCTGCCCACAAATAAATAGACAAACACATTTTATAGCGAGGCACATGAACATCGTAAATATAAAAATACTTTGATCAGGGACGAAGCAAATTTATTGACAAAGTTCGCTTGTAAGGAATCCAAGAAGCTGGGCTTGAAATACAGACCCGCTGCGCGTCAGTGGGCAAAGATCTGCAACTTGACGGTCTTTCTTCTGCAGGCCAATCCTCGTGCTGAAGAGCGAACAAGGCTTCGTGGGATACAAGAGCGCCTCTTCCTTCAAGCTGGAGTGCAACAAGGCCACGTACGAGACCATTCAGGTGGAGCGCAGCGAGAAGGGCGTCGTCTTCTTTAAGGGTCTGTAAAAAAAAAGTTGTCACTGTCGAAGAATTATATTGACAGTTTCCACAGAACGAAAAGTTTTGAGTAATTTACTTTATTGTGCACAGGTCAGAATGGCAAGTACTGGCACGTCGACGGGGAGTCCGTGACGGCCGACTCTGACGCTCCCGAGGGCTTCTTCCTGGAACTGCGCGATCCCACCCGGATATGCATCAAGAGTGTTTCTGGGGAGTATCTGGTAGCAAGTAAGAATGGGGCATTCCGTCTTGGAGACACGGACTTTGAAAATGCCACCAAATGGGAATACTAAGGTCCTTCAAGTATCTTTGTGGATTGGAAAGGTGGGGAGGGGGTGATACAGAGCAGCGGGCATTGTTTTATTTACGGAATTTTGTTGAAATGAATTGCTACATTGATTTATATTATTTATTTGAAAATTTGCACAAGAAATATTTAAATTACCACGATATTACAAAAATGATGAAACTTCTGTAATGCGTTATTGATATATTAACGTGTTACGAGCTTATTTGAAACTCGTTATATAAAATACAATTCAATAAAGAAGCTGAGAACTGTAAAGAACAATAAATGATGAGAATTTAAAGACGTCGTCTGTCCAGCAGTAAGATAGGAATTTCTAAGATGCATTTAACTTAAAACTCGTAGTTAGTATTAAGGAAATATATTATTGGATTACTGTATTTATTTCAACATAATCACTGCAATCTATGACAAGGCAAGTTTACTTCTGATGATGGCAGATCAAAGAAAGTCAAACGTTACCCCGAGCTTATAAGAGAAAATGCACTTGAAACGATGCTCAGAAAATGTTGTATCACTAGTACTTAGCGTACATTCATTGCTTTCTGTTGTGTCTTTTGACGTTGGTCCAGTTTGTACTACTTTTTGTAATAACTATAAATGAATGAAACAGTTTTATTAAAAAATTAAGTGTTCGACGAATCACAAAAGAGTGACTGCGGACATGTATAGTAGATTCATACACAGAACTGAAATAGAAAAAAGTTTTTTGAAATTACTTACTTCGACCAGATGTCGAGCAACAGACATCCAAGCAAAATCAATATTTCACTGCCATCTGAGGTTCAGGCCACTAACTAATTGACAGGAGAATAAATTTGGTCTTACGCGAAAAAAATCAGGATACAGAAGGTTTAAGAAAAGTGGCTCTCCATTTTTTTGAAAATTTTTTGAAGTTCTGAGGACTGTTTGTAGATGTTTAGGATAATGGATAAGGTGAAAGAGAGAATAAAGTATTAAATTTTTAATAGATTGTCAAATGTAATTGGTACAGTATTATTTTAATGCCTTACATATTTGGGTTTTTTTTTTGCCATCTTTCAGGGGCATTATTATTTATTATTAACTGCAAATGGGTTTTTACCCAGTGGCAGTGGTGCTACAATGAGACACACCAAAACAACGTGTTAAAAGGAGCTGCTGGATTTAGTGTTCATTAAACTTAAATATTTGTATTTAATTTTAGTTCAGTTCATTTGCTTGACAACAGCCGAACACTAAAAACAACAGAGCAAGAATAAACAGCCTAATATATGAACGATATACAAATAAAAATGTAAGATTAAAAGGAAAAAAACGAAGCGTGGTTAGAGGCACAGCGCGAGATCCACAGAATTTGGACGAAAGAAAAGTGAACAAAGTTTAAGTACAAGCAGTGTTATAAATGTCTATTAGCGAGTGAAATGTAATCATTACTAAAAATGTTGTTGGCTCAGAAACACGTCTAGTTGATAGACTGACCTTGATAATATTCGTCCTTTTTGAACATTTTGAGGTAAATTAATTTTGATCCAAATAAGTCTTGTAAAGTTTTACAGCGTCAGAAAGATGGGAGAACACCAAACATACAGGGCATTAAAATATTATTTCAACACTTGTATTAATTATAGTTACTGGGATATTAAAAGTTTAATTATGTAGAAATTAACAGAATGGAATGGATCTTAACGTGAACTTATTAAAATGTCAGAGACGAAGAGGTACTATAAATGAGTTTACGCCGCTACTGACAATCAGGTTTCAGGTTTCAAGAAGTTGGGTTAGGTATTAAGTCCAATCTTACGCACTGTGACGCTTAGCTTTCGTACAGTGAACACCTCATCTCGCTTTTCCTCATATTCCATTTCTGTGACGAGAGTTGTTTTCTTAGACCTTCTGTATTGTAATTTGTGAACTGCCTTTAATTTTTATGAACATAAAATGGAAGTAAACAAGTGTTGTAGAAATTCTAGGTAGCAGTTTTTATATGGAAGTAATTTGTGTGACTGTAATTTTTTATACATTTTCCATATGTTTTATATGGTGTGAGAAAAGTTGTGAACCGTTTTTGACTTCTTTTTAAGATGATTTTTCATTCTTGATTGATGTAAATATAGTAGATAGAAGAGTGTGAAAATTCTTGAAACAATACTTGGTAGCACAATTTTGTGGACTGCCAGATACTCAGTCACAAAAATGCCAGAATCTGCATTTATCATATTCCAATGGGGGTGGCTAAATTTATCCCCTCGGTGAGCGTTTTTATTGCTGGTGTTGTGTATTTCTGTATCTTGAATGTTTTTAAGAAAATAATGTCATTCCATTCTAGGCTCTGCTCTTTCTTATTATTATTATTGATAACTTTTCAATGTGATCGCTCAGAAATGAGGAGGTTATTTGTCTTTTAAGTTCTGTAGGCATAGTTACAGTAGAGGTATGCTCTGTAAGGTAAGTGTAATTTTGATCTAGTTAAAAATACTTGATACATTGCTGTGAAGATAGAGTGATTATAATGTATAGCCATTTTACTGCCTGTTCCATCCTCTTGTTTAAATATGTAACTTGGTTCAACATAAGACTGCTGATACACAATATGTGGCTAATAGCATGGCCTATAAAGTTGTCTGACCCTAAAACTAGGAGCTGTAGTGTATATTCCAGTTATTTATGTGTTTATTACTTTATGTATTGTGTCACAGATGGTATAATTGTTTATGTAGTTATACAGCATACTCTAGTAATATTGGGTTTGCCATTGTAAAGAACACCTTATTTATCACATATGTATTATATTTGTAGCAGATATTGGAAGTTTAATAATTCTTACCTTTGTCATTGAATCCTTCACACAACCTTACTTATTCCTGTGTATATCACAAATGACATTCTACTCATGTTAACTTAACGAAGTTAACATAAACTGTAAGGGCCAGCGCACACGTAAGACTTAACCGTCGGCTGACTGTTCTGTCGTTGTCGGCTGAAGCATACGACCCATAAACGACACGACAGTTCAGTCCATGAGCATGGGTACACGTACGACTAAACAGTCGTTCTTTTGTTCCACATTCTTCTCTCTATGCTCGCCGAGTACAGACGTCAGGAATGTTGCAAGAAGAGAATATCGAAGAATTAATTGAAGAGGTGTCTTTATGACAAAAAATTAAAAGATTATGCAAACATCAACGTTAAAAGTGTACTTTGGCAAGAGATTTGTTCAGTTGTGCCAGTCTTTCTTTAGGTGAAATAGCGAGACGCATATCCGTATCTTGATAGGTTATACTCGGTCTCAGCAATAATAGAACTTCATCAAAACTTTGTGTACTCATGCGAAAATATGAAAAGAATTTTGCATGATAATTCCGTAATGTTTTATACATAGTATGCAATTTTCCTTTGTACAGTCTCTCACTGTATAATGGATGCACCCAGTAATTCCTTTTCCTCCTTTTCTTGAGGCGAATCACAGGTGCACATACTATAGCAGTTTCAACAAAATCCATGTTTGACAATCGTCTACTGTCTGCAAATGCTCACACGAAATGAAAGGCAGAACGACTGAAAAGTCGTTCGTCTGCGCGCTTTCATATAATTCGAAGGGCCAACGACAGTTGGTAGACAGAAAAGTCCGGGGTTGTCGGTAGAGGTAACCGACTGCCAGTCGTGTCGCTGTCGTGTCGTAACAGTGTGCGCATCTCCATATGTTCTTAACGGCTTTGTGCGAACGACGAAACAGTCGTCTGACTGTTTGTCTTACGTGTGCGGTAGCCCTAAAAGAGAGACAAGATAGTAGTAAATCCATGGCATGAACAGAGAGGTACAACATGATCAGAAACTACAGTCACATAAATCCCTTTTGTACAGTATGAATATGGCTGTCTTAAAAGATGTTCCGCACTTTAATCAAATACGTATGAGCATGGTAGTCATCGTTGTTACCGATTGAACACTTGACAGTGGCTCCCGTCAAGTTCACACCCTCGCTAATATATGGCGCGGCAGTTCACTTATCTTTACATTAGTTCATGCCTCGCCAATAAACTGAGTAGGTAGGAATTGTGTATGTTCTGTGGATTGATTTGGTATCGTTTGTGAAATGGTACGCAGGTGTTAAGTTATCATATTTTTGACGCAAGCATGCGTTTTGATAATTTTTGGATACTTTCGACAAAGAGGAAATATATCCCTAATGTACTTTTCAGTCTCAAATGTGCCTTTGAGTTATGTTAGGTCATTTAAATCGTATTTAGGAAAGTTATATTATTCTAAACAACATAACCTCAAACAAATCCTATTGACTATGCCAAGGGACACAGGACACACAGAAATACTGCAGAAGCAACGCCAAAAATGTAAAGTAAAAGGACAAAAATATACTCCTGGAACAGTATCTTTACAAGTACTTGGCAGCGGCGCAAAAGGGGCCCCACGATCACTTTATGTATTCACTGATCAATCTAGGTGAGCATCAAAATAATAGCATTATTATACATATGTCCGTATTTCACCGCTACTTTAGAATATTGGTTTTGCTTACAGCATAAAACAGTTTTAAAAGTAATTAGTATATGCTTAATTTGGAATAGGTATCTGTTCAACTGTGGTGAAGGGACTCAACGTTTGGCACATGAGCATAAGATGAAGTTGTCCAAGTTGGAACACATTTTCATTACACATCCGACTTGGGAGAATATCGGAGGTCTACCTGGTCTTGCTCTCACTATCCAAGATGTAGGCGTTCCAGAAATTACACTGCATGGCCCAGCTGGCACTGTAAGTTATTTTAGATGGTAGGCTATGGTGGACATGTTAGATCTGTTTCATAGTTATTTATATTGCTCCAGTTTTTTTGGTTACCTTAATTGTGTTATTTAATCAGATATATTTATGAATACTTAGCATTACAGAACCTGCATTCTGTCATGTTGTCAGTAAGGAAGCCAGCAGTTCAAAAAACTGAATATTTTATGTGTGTCCACTGTTGCTTTGGGGTGTTACCCTGTTAAGTGCCCTTTTTCTTCTTCTTTTGTCTCACTTTCATATTTAAACCAGCTTTTGGTTTTGTATGTCTTCTTTGATTAAATTTTGTAATAATTTATTCAAACTGAGAAAAGTGATACTGTGAAAGACCTCAAATTAATTGTTGCTTTCAGGATGAAATTTTCAGAGCAACTCAAAGGTTTGTTATCCTCAAATACCTATCAGTCAAGATGGCTTGTTGTCCGGCAGGGGGCTATTTTGAAGACTCTGTAATGACTGTTCACTATTTACCAATCACTAGTACAACTGTAACTGCAATGAATGATCTGAATGATAATATGGAAAATCCACAATTGACAGCTGGTGGTCAGGTTGTCTTACCTGGAGGAACAGACAATAAAGAAGAAAGCGATGACGTGGACTATTATGCTCATGAACGGAAAAGGAAGAAGTACAGGCACTCGGTAGATAGGAGCTCTGGTGCGTATGATAGTACTAAGTGCGCTATTTGAGCATCTGCATGGTAGCGTTGTGTTAAAATGGATCGCAAGAAAGTAGGCGTTGAAAGTATTAAGTGGACTGAACTGGCTGTTGCAGGTTTTGGTGGTCATTGATCAGCTGAATTACAGACATCTGTTCTAGAAAGACCATGTAGGACAGAGCTAGTGTGTGACTTAGGATTTTAGTATAGTTGAACGTAATTAGCTACGCATTTATAAAATAATGTAGAATAGTTTATATTTAATTCTTTTATCAGGGAATACAAACACAAGACTTTAAATTTTGTCTCTGCATGTATCAGTCTGTTTCTTGGAAAGTCTGTCTGCCTGTCATAAAGAGTTTTTAATATTTGATTTATTTTAATATAAGAATGACTACACAGTTCATTTACCAAGATTATTTGTTTTGTGGTGTGATTCAAGTATTTGTTTTGTCTTCCATTAAAATTTTTATGGGTGTGCCCTAGTTTGTTACTTTTTTGCACATTACAGAAACAAAGAGACTGAGATCGGATGCACGTAAAGAACCAGTAGCACTGTCATACATTTGTCAACTGAAGCCACGGCCCGGTACACTGTGTCTGGAGCGCTGTGTGGACAGGAGAGTGCCCCCTGGTCCTCTTCTAGGGAAACTGAAAGCTGGTGAAGATGTTACATTGCCTGACGGTACATTGGTCAAGTCAGCAGATGTTCGATTGCCAGATGATCCTGGGCCAATTTTTATTGGTAATTGTAGCGCGTAGCTTACATCAAGATTTGGTAGTGAAGTGGTTGCAGCATTAGCTCTGGGATTTACAAGATTGAATGTGGATATTAGAAATGTTTAATTTATGCTTATCCATGCATGAAATCTCTTTATTTAGCAGACACTTCAAATGTAAGGTTGACAATATTTAGATTTGATGTAGTCATATACATTAATAAATTTTTAGCACAAAAAATAGTTGAATGTATATTTCAGGATAATGTTGGAATAAGACACCTTTACTTTCACGAAACAACTCAGCATTAAATCTCTAAATTGTTTTGTATTATTGCTCTTCTGTTTGGGCCGGACTGAGTGGGTTTTACCTCCGAATGGAGACAAATTTCGGTCTCTGAAACATTATTTTAATTCGAATTGGAGCAGTGGGTAATGTCCATCAGGTTTGTTATTGGAATGTGGCATTAATTTATTGTTTCAGTTGTGGACTGCCCATCTCTTGACTACGTGGATTCTCTAGTAAATAATTCTGCATTCTCAAGACATCAAGCAGCAGCAGCGTCAGAAATTGATCTTGCATTTCTTGTTGTTCATTTTACTCCAGAAAGTGTCATGAAGGATTCAAGGTAATGAATTCAGCAAAGCATCCTGTGTGACTTCTATAAGTGTCATTGTATTTAAATGACTTCGCTTCTGAAGATATTAGGTGCAGCAACAGAGATTTGTTTTTCTGACATAAAATATTTTTAGGTGTATAAGACACAGTTACTTTGTAAGACTTGAGGTTCTCACAGCGGTGAGTATGAAGATTTCCGTCTTCTGGGTTGTTGCACTGTGTAGTCTGGTTGATGTTAACCAACGTGTCAGAGGTCATACTGCCTCCGTCATCGCCCTGATGACGGAGGCAGTATGGCCTCTGAAACGTTGGTTAATATCGACCAGATTACACAGCGCAATAACCCAGAAGACAGAAATCTTCATACTCACCGCCCTGATGACGGAGGCAGTATGGCCTCTGAAACGTTGGTTAATATCGACCAGATTACACAGCGCAATAACCCAGAAGACGGAAATCTTCACACAGTTACTTTCCTTAAAAATAAACCTACAAATCATAGTGTCTCTTTATACCACGTGTCGTATACATCAGTAAATTACAAAAAATTAGGTAAATGTTGGAATCATGGTTAGTATTGTCAATTATAGTAAAAATCACAGCAGTGAAGTTGAAAACTGAAGTAAATTGAGGCCCTCTTAACATATGATATTTTCTCGTTGATATTCTCATTATATCCTTCAGTAGTGCTTTGAATAATGACTGCTTGTATTTTTAAGATTGCTGTCTTCTGGGTTGTTGCGCCTCCGTCATGAGGGCGATGAAACCTACCAGACTACGCGGCGCAGTAACCCAGAAGACGGCAAACTTCAGACTCACCACTGTGAAAACCTCAAATCCTACATGCTTATATTTTATTTTATTTTATTCACTTATGTAAAGTAGAATTTGTTACTTTAGTTAATTAATATGAAAAATGATTTTGAATGTTATAACTGGTTAATTAATAATCATTGTTTACAAAATATTTTAGAAAAGATGTTTCTTGACTTCTCTTTCTTCAACCATTATGGATCCTATATACTGGCATGTCTTATAAATGGGAAATACAGAGAAGTCAATTAATATGTTGCTGTAATTTGGGTAAGAAATGCGGTTGTACTTGCAGGTATCGTCAGTGGATGGAACAATTCTCTCCAAGCACATACCAGCTGACAATCAATGAGAGCAACAGTTGTATGGGAAGCGTTGCTGTTCATCGCATTCAGCATAAGCTTCATCTGTTGCACCAAGGGATATTTCCTTTCCTACAGGATACAAGCATTCCTTTAGAAGATACAGGTTGTAGTGAGGAGAATGGAATTGTTAGGACTGTATCTGTTCCTGAACAGGATGGCAAAGAACGTGACTCGCTAAGCAGAACGACGAGCTGGTCAGAAGATGGCGGTAGCCCAGATCTTTCGATTGGTGAAGAAGGTGCATTGATAAAAGAGGACTCTAATGACATTACTGAAAGATCGTTGACTTCATATAAAAATGATTCAAATATTTTTTCTTTAATTCAAGCAAGAACATTTTGCAGCATACATCTCCGACCTCGCAGAGGTGTTGACCGGTAAGGTTACGCAGATTAATGGGTCTCAAAAAGTGTTACGTGAATTGCCAATGATTTGAAATGCAGGTCATTACCATTTTAACCCTAATCATTTCACATAATTTTTAGACAGTCAAGTTCTCCCAGTCACGTTTGTGTTGTGTGCGTGTGCACATGCACATGTATCAATATGTACACTTCCTGATCATCACTCTTATAAATATGTACAAGTTTGTTTCAAATTATTTTCTGTTGCACCAAAAAATGCTTATATTGTAACACAGTGGTCTTTTGAGGTTATTATTTGTACAGCTTCCAGATATTTTCATTGTAGTATACAAATAAATGCAGCGTATCTAAATTTTTCAATCAACCATTCGTCTGTATTCAAATAGAAACATTGGAAGTGAATAGTGTCTACAGTTTTTTAGAACATTCTGTAATATCACAGAATTGATGTTTTTTTGCAGCCAAGGAGAACTGAAGTTGTTCCCGAAGCAGTACATAGAAGAGACGCGGTGTGTGGACGGGTTTCCTGAAGTTCTGGCTGAATTGAAGCAGATGCTCATGGAGACTCAGGTGGATCCTTTGAGAAAGTTCCCGCAGGTTCTTTTTCTTGGAACTGGCTCTTGCATACCAAACAAGACGCGCAACACCAGCAGCATTCTTATACATACAAGGTATGGCACAAGACAGATACATGTGGCAAAGGCGGACAGGTGCTGGCTTATTATTATGAAAACCTGAGTTCGTTCTAAGGCCAGTCCACGCTGAATTTGTGGCACTAGGACAAGTTTCTCTGTGACTAGTTTGGATTTGTCATATCAATCCCCAGTATCCTGTAGCTCTGAATTCATATAGTGAATATAGGATATGGAATAAGCTAGTGTCATTGGAAATCACCACCACTAACCTTTATCGATACAGAACATCTACAACACTAGCACAGCGGTCATGTAGAGTTTTGTACCGGGATAAACACAAGTGACCAATGTACGGTTGTGAAATATGTGCGAAGTTTGTGAGACTGAGGTTCTCACAGTGGTGAAGACGTAGGTGACCTTCCGAGTTGTGACGCAGTACGTTCATACCCACCTAAAAGTCCGTGACATCAGAACCCAGAATACCAAAATCAACTAGTATTTTTATTTATTTCCTTTATTTTTAAGACAAAGTGTTTTTTCTTTTATTTTCAAATACTGAGAAAGTACACATCTGTGTATGTTTTCGCAGCAAGGATGACTGCATCTTGCTTGATTGCGGAGAAGGGACCTATGGACAGTTGGTGAGATTTTATGGACCAAGGGAAGTTGATGCAGTTCTCCGCAAGCTGCGAGCTGTGTTCATATCTCATCTTCATGCTGACCACCATATTGGGTTGGTAGGCCTACTTAAGGGACGCAAACGGGCCCTTCCACAGAGCCAAGTATTTCTTATTGCGCCCAGACAGATCATGTCATGGCTAAATCTTTATCACTGTTGCTTTGAGCCTGTGCTGCAAGAGTTTATGCTGGTTGCCAACGGAGTTCTGGTAAGATTAATGCAGACCGAAGTACAGTAGTCGTCAGGCACCTTGTGAGTCGCGCGTTCTAGCTAGACTTTACTGGATTCTGCATGGTCAGGCAAAGATTTGGAGTGGCCTAGTGCTACAGCAGCTGTTTCAAAAACATTGACTGTTGTTGCTATGAGCGTCTCTGTTGCGCCTTCCTCGGGATACATCACCTTCCATTTTACTGCTGCCTTTAAAGTTAGATCTTTATACAGTGTGTAACAAGAAATATGGAGGGAACATAAGTGATGGTGCTTTTTTGAGTGGATGTTGACACGTGCGCAGCACATTTCTCTCTTTGCTGCTTGCCGTGCAGTGACAGCTCACAAGATACCTGGTGACTGCTCTACCTACCTGCTTCTGATGTTGTGTATTCTTGTAGGTAGTTCACTACATTTCAGAGGAACAGCAAGTTCCTCTAAAACAATTGTAACTACTTACAAGACTACCAAATGTCACAACTGAAAAGAACGTACTTTATGTTTGTGCATTTATGTTCACTGCACATGCCTGTGAGTCTATGTTCTTTATCTGTGTTACAGCAAATGGGAATGAAGAACATTAAAGCTGATGTGTACTCACAGCTGCTGGCCTCTCTCCACATGTCAGACATCAGCACAGTTTCAGTCAGACACTGCCCTAATGCATTTGGAGTGGCATTCAGCCACTCTGATGGCTGGAAGATAACATACTCTGGTGATACAATGCCCTGTGATGATCTGGTTGAACTTGGTATGTACAGTAGACCTAAAGGAACACATGTAGTTGGTGTCATATTATATAAAAATGACAGTACGAGGGAGACTGCTTTAGTAGAATACAGAGAAATTGCCTTTTTTTTCTCCTGGATTACCATCTTAAAAAATGTTGAAAGTTAATATCTTAGATATGAGTTTATTTGAAAGGTAAAAAATACAAATATTTATCTTTAGATTTTTGCAGATGGATGTTTAGCTTTCATGGATGCGCTGCAATGAATGTTGAGAATTATCCAACATTTCAACAAACCTTACATTTTCCATATTCATTTGGAAGGTAGCAGCTGAAATGTTTGCTTAAACACTGGAAAATTCTTAACGTTCAATGCGGCTCATCCTCAAAAGTCAAAGTTATACACAGATTAAACCATTTCTTTGCGCAGGAATAATGTACTGCAGTGGGATTCAAATTATGACAGTTTTCTTGAATACCGGCAAACATATCTTTAATGTGATTGAAAGGGTTGGTGATTGGAGTAGTCTTAATGGTGATTATGATGAATTGTCAGGCATTGGAAGTGACTTGTTGATACATGAGGCCACAATGGAGGATGAACTTTTGGAAGAAGCGCAGACTAAACTGCACTCTACAACATCGCAAGCAATCGAAATGGGACAGCGTATGGGAGCCAAGTTTACACTTCTGACACACTTCAGCCAGCGTTATGCTAGGCTGCCACGTTTCAATGCCAACTTCACGAAGGATGTTGGTGTAGCATTTGATAACATGCAGGTTTGTGGTCAGTGTGATACGTAAGTTTAATTTAGACCTCCGACATTCTGGACAGGTATTCGCCATTCTGTTTGTGTTCAGGAAGCTACATGAAACTGAAATTAATGAAGATTATGGTATTTATAATCTGTACACATAAATAGTAAGTCCATAATGTGATTATTACCACTGTAGAAGAAAGACGACTGTAACAGTGCAAATATCAGCTATAGTCGCCCTGATGACGGAGGCAGTATGACCTCTGAAACGTTGGTTAACATCGACCAGACTACACAGCGCAACAACCCAGAAGACAGAAATCTTCATACTCACCGCCCTGATGACGGAGGCAGTATGGCCTCTGAAACGTTGGTTAATATCGACCAGATTACACAGCGCAATAACCCAGAAGACGGAAATCTTCACACAGTTACTTTCCTTAAAAATAAACCTACAAATCATAGTGTCTCTTTATACCACGTGTCGTATACATCAGTAAATTACAAAAAATTAGGTAAATGTTGGAATCATGGTTAGTATTGTCAATTATAGTAAAAATCACAGCAGTGAAGTTGAAAACTGAAGTAAATTGAGGCCCTCTTAACATATGATATTTTCTCGTTGATATTCTCATTATATCCTTCAGTAGTGCTTTGAATAATGACTGCTTGTATTTTTAAGATTGCTGTCTTCTGGGTTGTTGCGCCTCCGTCATGAGGGCGATGAAACCTACCAGACTACGCGGCGCAGTAACCCAGAAGACGGCAAACTTCAGACTCACCACTGTGAAAACCTCAAATCCTACATGCTTATATTTTATTTTATTTTATTCACTTATGTAAAGTAGAATTTGTTACTTTAGTTAATTAATATGAAAAATGATTTTGAATGTTATAACTGGTTAATTAATAATCATTGTTTACAAAATATTTTAGAAAAGATGTTTCTTGACTTCTCTTTCTTCAACCATTATGGATCCTATATACTGGCATGTCTTATAAATGGGAAATACAGAGAAGTCAATTAATATGTTGCTGTAATTTGGGTAAGAAATGCGGTTGTACTTGCAGGTATCGTCAGTGGATGGAACAATTCTCTCCAAGCACATACCAGCTGACAATCAATGAGAGCAACAGTTGTATGGGAAGCGTTGCTGTTCATCGCATTCAGCATAAGCTTCATCTGTTGCACCAAGGGATATTTCCTTTCCTACAGGATACAAGCATTCCTTTAGAAGATACAGGTTGTAGTGAGGAGAATGGAATTGTTAGGACTGTATCTGTTCCTGAACAGGATGGCAAAGAACGTGACTCGCTAAGCAGAACGACGAGCTGGTCAGAAGATGGCGGTAGCCCAGATCTTTCGATTGGTGAAGAAGGTGCATTGATAAAAGAGGACTCTAATGACATTACTGAAAGATCGTTGACTTCATATAAAAATGATTCAAATATTTTTTCTTTAATTCAAGCAAGAACATTTTGCAGCATACATCTCCGACCTCGCAGAGGTGTTGACCGGTAAGGTTACGCAGATTAATGGGTCTCAAAAAGTGTTACGTGAATTGCCAATGATTTGAAATGCAGGTCATTACCATTTTAACCCTAATCATTTCACATAATTTTTAGACAGTCAAGTTCTCCCAGTCACGTTTGTGTTGTGTGCGTGTGCACATGCACATGTATCAATATGTACACTTCCTGATCATCACTCTTATAAATATGTACAAGTTTGTTTCAAATTATTTTCTGTTGCACCAAAAAATGCTTATATTGTAACACAGTGGTCTTTTGAGGTTATTATTTGTACAGCTTCCAGATATTTTCATTGTAGTATACAAATAAATGCAGCGTATCTAAATTTTTCAATCAACCATTCGTCTGTATTCAAATAGAAACATTGGAAGTGAATAGTGTCTACAGTTTTTTAGAACATTCTGTAATATCACAGAATTGATGTTTTTTTGCAGCCAAGGAGAACTGAAGTTGTTCCCGAAGCAGTACATAGAAGAGACGCGGTGTGTGGACGGGTTTCCTGAAGTTCTGGCTGAATTGAAGCAGATGCTCATGGAGACTCAGGTGGATCCTTTGAGAAAGTTCCCGCAGGTTCTTTTTCTTGGAACTGGCTCTTGCATACCAAACAAGACGCGCAACACCAGCAGCATTCTTATACATACAAGGTATGGCACAAGACAGATACATGTGGCAAAGGCGGACAGGTGCTGGCTTATTATTATGAAAACCTGAGTTCGTTCTAAGGCCAGTCCACGCTGAATTTGTGGCACTAGGACAAGTTTCTCTGTGACTAGTTTGGATTTGTCATATCAATCCCCAGTATCCTGTAGCTCTGAATTCATATAGTGAATATAGGATATGGAATAAGCTAGTGTCATTGGAAATCACCACCACTAACCTTTATCGATACAGAACATCTACAACACTAGCACAGCGGTCATGTAGAGTTTTGTACCGGGATAAACACAAGTGACCAATGTACGGTTGTGAAATATGTGCGAAGTTTGTGAGACTGAGGTTCTCACAGTGGTGAAGACGTAGGTGACCTTCCGAGTTGTGACGCAGTACGTTCATACCCACCTAAAAGTCCGTGACATCAGAACCCAGAATACCAAAATCAACTAGTATTTTTATTTATTTCCTTTATTTTTAAGACAAAGTGTTTTTTCTTTTATTTTCAAATACTGAGAAAGTACACATCTGTGTATGTTTTCGCAGCAAGGATGACTGCATCTTGCTTGATTGCGGAGAAGGGACCTATGGACAGTTGGTGAGATTTTATGGACCAAGGGAAGTTGATGCAGTTCTCCGCAAGCTGCGAGCTGTGTTCATATCTCATCTTCATGCTGACCACCATATTGGGTTGGTAGGCCTACTTAAGGGACGCAAACGGGCCCTTCCACAGAGCCAAGTATTTCTTATTGCGCCCAGACAGATCATGTCATGGCTAAATCTTTATCACTGTTGCTTTGAGCCTGTGCTGCAAGAGTTTATGCTGGTTGCCAACGGAGTTCTGGTAAGATTAATGCAGACCGAAGTACAGTAGTCGTCAGGCACCTTGTGAGTCGCGCGTTCTAGCTAGACTTTACTGGATTCTGCATGGTCAGGCAAAGATTTGGAGTGGCCTAGTGCTACAGCAGCTGTTTCAAAAACATTGACTGTTGTTGCTATGAGCGTCTCTGTTGCGCCTTCCTCGGGATACATCACCTTCCATTTTACTGCTGCCTTTAAAGTTAGATCTTTATACAGTGTGTAACAAGAAATATGGAGGGAACATAAGTGATGGTGCTTTTTTGAGTGGATGTTGACACGTGCGCAGCACATTTCTCTCTTTGCTGCTTGCCGTGCAGTGACAGCTCACAAGATACCTGGTGACTGCTCTACCTACCTGCTTCTGATGTTGTGTATTCTTGTAGGTAGTTCACTACATTTCAGAGGAACAGCAAGTTCCTCTAAAACAATTGTAACTACTTACAAGACTACCAAATGTCACAACTGAAAAGAACGTACTTTATGTTTGTGCATTTATGTTCACTGCACATGCCTGTGAGTCTATGTTCTTTATCTGTGTTACAGCAAATGGGAATGAAGAACATTAAAGCTGATGTGTACTCACAGCTGCTGGCCTCTCTCCACATGTCAGACATCAGCACAGTTTCAGTCAGACACTGCCCTAATGCATTTGGAGTGGCATTCAGCCACTCTGATGGCTGGAAGATAACATACTCTGGTGATACAATGCCCTGTGATGATCTGGTTGAACTTGGTATGTACAGTAGACCTAAAGGAACACATGTAGTTGGTGTCATATTATATAAAAATGACAGTACGAGGGAGACTGCTTTAGTAGAATACAGAGAAATTGCCTTTTTTTTCTCCTGGATTACCATCTTAAAAAATGTTGAAAGTTAATATCTTAGATATGAGTTTATTTGAAAGGTAAAAAATACAAATATTTATCTTTAGATTTTTGCAGATGGATGTTTAGCTTTCATGGATGCGCTGCAATGAATGTTGAGAATTATCCAACATTTCAACAAAATTTACATTTTCCATATTCATTCGGAAGGTAGCATGTTGAGAATTATCCAACATTTCAACAAACCTTACATTTTCCATATTCATTTGGAAGGTAGCAGCTGAAATGTTTGCTTAAACACTGGAAAATTCTTAACGTTCAATGCGGCTCATCCTCAAAAGTCAAAGTTATACACAGATTAAACCATTTCTTTGCGCAGGAATAATGTACTGCAGTGGGATTCAAATTATGACAGTTTTCTTGAATACCGGCAAACATATCTTTAATGTGATTGAAAGGGTTGGTGATTGGAGTAGTCTTAATGGTGATTATGATGAATTGTCAGGCATTGGAAGTGACTTGTTGATACATGAGGCCACAATGGAGGATGAACTTTTGGAAGAAGCGCAGACTAAACTGCACTCTACAACATCGCAAGCAATCGAAATGGGACAGCGTATGGGAGCCAAGTTTACACTTCTGACACACTTCAGCCAGCGTTATGCTAGGCTGCCACGTTTCAATGCCAACTTCACGAAGGATGTTGGTGTAGCATTTGATAACATGCAGGTTTGTGGTCAGTGTGATACGTAAGTTTAATTTAGACCTCCGACATTCTGGACAGGTATTCGCCATTCTGTTTGTGTTCAGGAAGCTACATGAAACTGAAATTAATGAAGATTATGGTATTTATAATCTGTACACATAAATAGTAAGTCCATAATGTGATTATTACCACTGTAGAAGAAAGACGACTGTAACAGTGCAAATATCAGCTATAGTTCTTCTTCTTCTTCTCCTATGGCTCACAGTCCGCATTCGGCCCATGGCCTCCTCAATTCTCCTCTTCCATTCTGTCCGAGGCTTTGATTGAGGTCTCGAAACATCTTCCTTTTTACGGTGCAAGGTTGTTAGCCTTGCGACCAACCCCCAACCTGGAGGACCAGGGTACCTGTCTTGAGATTTTCTTAGAATTACAATGTGTAGCAAATATAAATGATGGTCTTCTAATGATATGAGTAAAGTGACTGAAGTCATATAGATTGTTGGTAGGCTATGCATCAGTGAAAGGAAGGGACGTGGAGTGGATGACAGGTGCCTGGTCTCACCTCCTGGCAGTGTTGGCAAGCAAAGAAAGCTGGGGCAGAGACAGGTCTCACCTTCTGGCAGTGTTGGCAAGAAAAGAAAGCTGGGGCAGAGACGTTAGTAAAACGTGATTGTTTCAGGTTAGTCTGGGTGAGCTGCCTCTACTCCCAATGATGTTTCCATCACTGCGACTCATGTTTGCTGAACATTATGAGGAAATGGAACAGAAGGCAGCCCGCAGACTTCAGAAACAAGAATTTGAACAGCAGAAAATTAGATCATGATGAGAACAATGTTGTATTGTTGTTGCTGCCATGTTACGTAGGTTACATGTACATCACTGATAGAACAGATTTTGTACTTATTAGGGGCATGCAGTGGTTGGAATAAAATTTACGATCAGTTGAGTCATCAATCTAATTTCTTGTGAACCTGTGTTCTCACAGGTAAAACTAACATGTTATTGTCTGTCTGTAGTGAAACTGTATTATGGTGTTTTCTTGTATGTAATCTATGTTTCACTTGTTATGGTTACAAAGTCTTATATATGTAATGCAATTATTTCTCTTGTATGGGTTTTCTCACCATATACTTTGAAAATTCTAATCCTTTCACAAAAGAATGGTGATTGGTCAGTTTTAATTTTTGGGTTGAAGAAGACAGAGGACATCGCAACTCAGAAGACTATAATTGATACCTTCACACTGTATGCCACAGTTGGTAGCATTTCTGCTTTCTATTTGGCAGGTTCTGGTTTCAATATTTAGGTTTGGAGATCATTGATTTTTTTGTGGTTTTTCCCTTCAGTACCTCGAGGCACGTAATGAAATGTTACATCAGACCATAACCACTTCCTTCCATGCCCCAAACAATTCATTTTTTCTAATCATTGTATTACTCGATTCTGTTAAATCTGAGCTAATGAGTGTCGATAAATAAATAACCAACGTGACAACCACAAACGTTACCGGCTGAACACCGTTGTCACCAACATAGTACTGTTATGTAATTCTTGCTAGAAGATAGATGGCAGAACATACCTTACGATCAGTGACATAAAATTACGTATGTGCGTTTGATGATCTGTTGTCATTGATGACCACTTATTTGTTGACGCACGTTTTGTAACATGGTAAGAGAAGGTAGATGTTGGGATTACTAGTGATTTCACATGTAAAAATCGTTTTTCTGAATCAATTTGACGGTCTGTTTGGTAAATGCATCTCAATTTTGTTTTGGATGGGGGCTGAAATGAAATTACCGTCAGAAGACGGTGACACTTATCATAAACGATGTGGCGGAAAGGTGGGCAATGACATTCAGAACTTTGATTTGCGGAAAACAGGTATGCTTTATTTGACATAATTTTTACTTTCGTATGTAAGAACATAGTTTTATTTTGTGTGTATAGCATCTTTCACACAACAGTCTTGTTAATTCGTGGTTCAGTCCCAAGAGACCGAAATTATTCTTGAAATAATTGCTTTAAAAAACATTGTTTCTGCAAGAAATGTGTATTCAGAAGCTAATGAGGTTTTGATTTAATGTATTATGGCATCACTCGTGAAAACAGAAACTTTAAAATTAGTCTACTTTGCTTGCTTCGTTCGATCTTATCATACGGACTTGTTTTCTGAGGAAACTCAACAGACAGCAAAAGAGTATTGTACATTCAAAATAAAATCACAACATAACCTTAATATGCCAAAGACTAACTTTAGCAAATATCAAAAAGCAGTTTTCCGTACTGAAATTTATAAGTTGATTTGAGTGTAAAAAATCAGTTATTATTTTTGTTAGGGTTAATTGAAGTGTGTTTTTTTTTATTTCAGCCCAAAATGAATGAAATTAAATTGGAGCCTGATTTAGACAGTTTTACTCCTCTGATGTTTTTATCGAGTGAACATCAGTTGCTTGATATGAATGATGAAGGGCCAGTCACGTTCGATATACTGCGGAATGGAGCTAAAGTGAGCTTTCATTTTTATTATTTTGTTAATTCTGTGAGTGGCTAAAATGAGAAAGAAATTGGTCTTGGAGCTTAGCATGTCAGTGCCTGCCCTTCGTACTTGGTATTGTGTTCGTGTTTGTTCTGATGAAAATACTTTTTGTAATTTGGCTGTCAAACTCCATAGTTTACATCACATGGTAAAGCCACGTGAAATGAAGATGTTACCATTACTGTAATAAGCCCAAATTAGTGCTATGCTACTTGTTTAAAGATAGTGGTTCACATTTTAACTTACTTCTCTGAGGTACATTTTAATCGTGCATCTGTGAGAACCTAATTTCACAGTCATATTGTTTATTGTGGTTTTCTTTTGACCAAATTTAGTTTTAAAAGGTTGGTTCATATTAGTGATTTTGAAGATGGCTGTCTCCTGGGTTGTTGCACCGTGTAGTGTCGTAGAAGTTTATCGACGTTTCAAGGGTCCATGCTGCCTCCATCATCAGGGCAATGAGTGATGATGGAGACAGCAAGGACCTCTGAAACATCTATAAACTTCTTCAAGACTACACGGCGCAACAACCCAGAAGACAGCCATCTTCAGACTCACCGCCGTGAAACCTCAAATCCTACATTAGTGATTTTGTTTCAGTGTACTACAGAATTGATCAAAGTGGAACAATGTTCAGATGATGGAACTCACTCAATGTTATCATTCGGTGAAGATGATGAAGAGGATCATCCTATGCCATTATTTATCCCCGTAATGAAATCTGAAGTGAAGGTGAATTATGTTTTAAATGCCCTGCCAATTTGTAAAAATTTTATATTCAGGAGTTTTACTCAAATTTCTCAGCTCATTTCAATATTGTTTAAAATCAGGCCTATGTATTTCTGTGTGTGGAAGTGCTGGGTGGGGGATCCCCAGGTTACTATGGTTACCTCAAAGTGTATGCCACCTGCATCTGGGAATTTGTCTTATGGGACCAGGGCTGTATCTAGAGTGGGGGTTTGTGGAGGAAGGTAATGAAACACATGATGTGGCAAAGTAATCAGAATTTCAGCATTGCTTCATGTAGGCATGACAACGTTTATTTCTTTTGTACGGGACTTGCCATTTCTAAACTCACATTCATCATATCCATTGTTTATCAGGAGGAGTCAGAAGATGAAGCAACAGATGAGAAGGAAATGAATAATGAAGTTAAGGCAGAAAAAAATGAAATGACTCCAGACTGGTAAGTTTACATTTTGTGATTTATTATAGTAGTTGTTCATTACCAACTTTGATATTAATTCCTATATTTTGATTAGAATCTTTGTTGTTATAAGTGATTGGCTGTTATACAGTTTGTGTGGCATAATTGTGATTGTCTCAACATTTCGTAATTATTGTGTTTATTTGCAATTTTCTCTAAAGTGTATGGACTTGGCACAAAGGAGATTATTTTTTACAGTTTAAAAGACAGGTGGAAATGTTATTAAATTGGCAGGGATAGAGTCCAATGCTAAAAACCAAATATTGTAGCTTAGTTATTAGCACTCCTGCTTCATATTCAGATCTTTGGTTCATATCTCAGTGTGGGAGCAGTCTAAACTGACAAGTTTCTAATGATTTTCCTCATTCCCTCCAAACAAATGCTGGAATAATACTTTAAATTAAATCATAACTGCTTCCTTCCATATCCTTTCCAATTCACTATCCATTAATCATTGTGTCATCTGACACTGTGTACTCTGAGCTACTCTGAGGTACTGAGAGCATTGCTAAGCATACTACAAATAAATTGAATGCGTGCGTTGCTTTCATCTGATTGAAGATGATCCTGTTGCATGCAGTTAGTTTCTGTTTGTTTTTGGACAGAAAATTTAAACTCAGTTGAAAGCATTGTACCATATAATGTTAGTTTTTTGTCACAGTGTGGAGTGGATGAACAAACGGGAAGGTGCGTCCTCAACAGAAGCTGACTGTGTGGAGAATTATGACAAGACTGTTGCAGTTAAAATTCCTGCAGAAGTCAGACGTAGAAAGCGAAGAAATAATTCTCATACCCCAATAAAAGTAAAGCGTCATAAATGTCAAATATGCAGTAAAGTGTTTTATAAAAGTGATTCCCTTCAGGCACATATTCGTACGCACACTGGTGAAAAACCTTTCAAATGTGAAATTTGCAATAAGAGATTTTCAGAAAGGGTGAGTGTCTCGAGGCATCGGCTAGTTCACACAGGAGAGAAACCGTACAGTTGTGACATTTGCCATAAGCGATTTTCTCAGAGAGCACATTTGAATGATCATCATCGCATTCATACGGGCGAGAAACCTTTTAAATGTGAAACGTGCAACAAAGAGTTCTCACATAATGGAAATCTTGTGAAACACAGGCTTCTGCACACAGGTGATAAAACTTATAATTGTGATGTATGTCAAAAGAAATTTACACGTAGTGACACCCTCAGAAAGCATTCTCGTATTCACATGGAAGAAAAACCGTTCAAATGCGATGAATGTGACAAGAAATTCACATGCAAATACACGCTCAAAAGACACTGTTTTAACCACTTAGGGGAGAGACCATACTTCTGTGAAATATGCGACAAAGTCATCTCGGGAAATGATTGCATCGTACACAGACTTTTACATAAGGGTGAGAAACCTTATCCCTGTAACCTGTGCAATAAAGGTTTTGCACGCAGTTCACATCTTGCTAGGCACAAACTTACTCATACAGGAGAAAAACTTTACAGCTGTGATGTGTGCAGCAAGAAGTTCTCTCAGCGGTCACATCTGACTGATCATTATCGTATCCACACAGGCATTAAGCCTTACACATGTGATATATGCAATAAGGGTTTCTCGCAGAGTGGAAATCTTATGACACATAGACTTACACACTCTATTGAGAAGCCTTACAGTTGTGACATATGCAACAAGCAGTTCACACATAAAAATGGCCTCAAGAAGCATTATCATATTCACACAAGAAATATTTAGAAGGAGGCATAAATCTACAGACAGTTTATTAATTATCAGATTCTTTATCAACACTTCCAACTTCATAGTTAATGTTGCATTAGGTGGTTGGATAGTTTATAATGATGCAAAGGAGTCTGGTCAAAGCCTGTTATAAGGTAATATTTCAGCATTTGTTTGGAAGAGCTAAGGTAGACCACAAAATATTCATTATAGCTGGTCTCTGGGCTGAGATTTGAACCAGGGGAACCGCCCCCCCCCGCCCCCAGGTACAAAGTAGGAGTGCTGACCACAGTATTCAGTAGCTATTAAAGAGGGCGCATCTGAATGCATACGATATGCATATTCTGCGCTGTTAACTTATTTTTCCCGAAAAGAAATTTATGATGTTTATAATGTAATGTATTTATGAACACTGATACATTGTAAAACTGTGACCAGACTATTTGTGCGTCTTCTAGTGTGTCACGATAATTGTAATCCATTTCATGAGCCCAAGCAGTGTGATAAACTGGAGCCATGGGCTTAAGGGGTTCACTACAGTGTCAGCAAAGCTGTTGTTACATGCTGACATCACTCTTGAGTTTTGGCAGCATGAGTCTAAGCACAAGTAACCTGGACACACCTTAATGCATAGCGTGTTGCTGTCATAATCATCAGCAATCTACCAGCTGAATCAGTTATGGATTTCCTTTTAAGACAAAGATTAATTTTTTGTGAGAGCACTGTGGAAAATTGCTTGAAATATTGATCTTACAGACTGTCAGAATGCATTTAAGTATTGGCAGACTCTCTGCTTCCAGCTGATTGACATTATGTCATCTCTTTGGTAATTTTCATGAAACCAAGTATCAATGTCTAGAAGTGGTTTTCGAGTGAATTATTTTGTCTGTGAGGATAAGGAAGGTGGGTCACTTGTAACATATGCTGTGAAATGTGTTATGATGTGGTAGATATTGATATAATCTAAAAATGTTAACAAAATACCACCATGCCTTAGCTTGGTTTTGTGTTTATCCAGTCACTGAGATGCAGTTTAGAATTTTTGCCTTCCTGTCTGCTATCTAAAAATGCAAAATTAAAATTTACAAAAGCGTACTTTTGCCTGTTGTTTTTATGGGTGTGAAACTTGGTGTCTTGTGTTAAGAAAAGAACACAAGCCTGAGGGCGAGATTTCAGATTTCACTCCAATGAGTATTATGATGACTGTCTATTAAGATGTTACCCTGATGATAGAGGCAGTAAACACCCAAAAATGTCAGTTGATCAGTGCAAGTCTGTGGTGCTACGAGCATACCAAATTGCTTGGTCATCTTAAAAAAACTGTAACTTTGCTAACGACATGATCTTCATTGGGAATGAGGTTTGAGGTTCCCACAGCAGTGAAGATTCCAGTGGCAGTATTGTGTGATTTTGGTTTGTCTTCCAATACATATGAAATATTAACACACTCTGTTTGTTTTCTCATATATACATTTATATTTTTCACGGTATATACCGAGAAAAGTAACTTCCTACACAGTGGGCTGGCCAAGCTGGAAGGGGAGGGGGACAAATTTTCAATAAGACGGCAAAAATGGCGGGCAGGTCGGCCATAGATTGGTGCATATCATCTGAGAAAGCTAACTTACGATATTACGACTCCATTTATTGAGAATTATAAGAACATTCCACAAATATCTAATATTGAAAGAGTTCACATTAGCGAATTAGTGCTGTCTGCAGCACAATACTGCACGCCATGGTATAATGTAGTGATGATACGTACTCATAGATGTCAGCATCAAGTAGAATTATACATTTGCGCTTCTACTTTGTGTTTCGTTGTTAGTTGTAATTAAATATATGGATTGGTATAATGTTATGCATTATGGATCAAGTGACATAACTTTAATAGAATTTATTTGATTCACTAAAGTATTGCTTAGTGTGTCAGAATTTGAATTTAACGTGCATGGTGTATTCATTAATACATTCCGAGTACGGCTTAGTGCAGTGTAATTAATTAAACGTGTTTCAGAATAGAAATGTGAAGAGCCGCGAACATGATTTGCGCTTATTTGATACATGAAATTTGAAAATTAAAAGTTGTAATGTCGTAAAATTGGTATCTATAGGGTACAAAGCCAATGGAATAATGTCCAACTAGTTGCTAATCCGGGATTGGTCAGTAAGTCAAATGCTTGCGCGACAAGAAGCGCAATGTGCATATTTATGGTTATCAATAAAAATGGTGGAGAAGTGTTTATATGATTTGTGAAGTTTCTGTGGTAGGCTGAGATGGAGGTGAAGAGAGGTCAGTTTCTTTGACTGAAGATGTTGGGTGAGTGGCGGAGATACTTTTTACGTATAAGATAATTAAAGTTGTTATCAGTTGGTATTTCGTATAAGCCGTGACACAGCACTAGTAACAAAGCTACCTGTTGGCTAATTGATTATTTCTTGTTTTCGATTAGGATTACGTGTTTGGGAATTACCATCATGATAATGACATTGCTGGGGGATCGAAATGCCCAGAAAAGTAAAGGCAGTGTTCGAGAAGCAGGAATTGGATACGAAAATGGCCCAACGAAACGTCTTCGAAAAGAAACACAGATGTGAGTTTGTTTACATTGATGGATGAATTAGGTTACCTTCAGAATAGTGCATGAACAGAACAGTTATGGAAATAATTAATTTACATGCGCGTTTTTGTGTCTTCTAGCAACACGGAAGGGGGTTGATTCTTTACGAAGCTGTGATGAACTTCAGTTTTTAGAAGAGACTTGTGTGGCACCAGTACCAGTTTCTGCTGAATGCTTTGTATTTCCTCCACCCCCTCCTTCACATCTTCAACCTCGACGTCCAGTATCAGCTTGCTCTCATTGTTATAGTGCCTCTGATTCTGACAGCCAGTCTGACTCGGGCAGAGGTCTTGGTGGACGCTCCTCCCCTATCACAATTCGCCATCCATTGTTCACATTCAGAGGTTACCAGAGTGATGGCAGTCCAGTTGCATTGCATTCGCTCCCCCGTTTCCTTCCACCAATTGGTGTGTTTTGGGATATTGAAAATTGCCAGGTATGTAATTATGGGGATATTCTTTTATGAATGCTGACAAATTAATTTTGGGAGTGCAGTTGGTTTTAAGGTTTTAAGTTTTAGTTATTGATTGTGTTACATTATAGTTGTGGAATCATAATTGTACTTGCTATATGGCTGTCTTTCTCTCTCTCTCTTTTTCTTTTGTGCACTAGTTATGTGGTGTTTGTAGTTTAGTAGTATTTACAAACTGTCAGAATACTATATGGCACAATAACCCAGAAAATCACCAAACATTTCCTTTTCTGTTTATAGGTACCAAAAGGTAGATCAGCTGTTGCAGTGGCTCAGATTATTAGAGACAGATTCTTCGATGGCTACCGTGAAGCTGAGTTCCTTGTAGTGTGTGATGTTAAGAAAGAAAACAGCCAAGTAATTCAGGAACTGAATGATGCACAGGTAATTTTGAACACTCTTTATCATACCATGGTTTATGCTGATAATAGTCTAGACTCTCTGTTTCAAGTTTTAGCTCAAATTCTTTCTCAGTTCATGTTAATGTCCCCATCATTAAAATTTAACAAAACCAGAACACTGAGATACTGTTCTTTAACCTTCATAGCATTTACTTTCTTAAGATTAAATCTTTCGATATTGCCATATCTAAGATAACTGGTTCGTTCACAGTCTTACTATTGTAATGGAGAACAGACAATAGTATACAGTAACTAAGAAGTACGACATTTTAACAGCTGGTAATTGGAACAAATTTTTGGAGTTAATGTGTGTTTCTTCATAGAATGTGTCAGAGGAATGCTTGATTATTTACATATCTTCATATTCTTTTGCATTTTATGTTAACTTCTTTTTCTGCAAAAAAAAATCGCTCATTTGAAGTAAAAAAGAATAGATGGAGGGACAGGTTATGTTAACTTCTTTTTCTGCAAAAAATCGCTCATTTTAAGTAAAAAAGAATAGGTAGGGGGACAGAAAGGAAATGCACTGATATTTTTAGTTCTTTTATTCTTGCCATTAATTCCCTTATTTAGTTAATGACAACACACAGGAGTCTGAAAACTTTACGTGCCAGAATTATGATGTAGTCCATAAATACTGATACAAGCATAAAATTTAACACCCAGCTTTTCCTTTTAATGTGCAGGAATCATATATTGTCATTGTGCAGATTATGTATATGTGTATTTTATTCATTTCAGGTGAACTTGATTCATGTGGCATCCACATGTAAAAATGCAGCAGACGAGAAGTTACGCCAGTCAATTCGCCGCTTTGCCGATATTCATGGTAGTCCAGCGGCCATCATACTTATCTCTGGTGATATAAATTTTGCAGCTGACCTGACTGATCTTCGACATAGGTACTACATCTATTTGCGGCAGAGATGTTTTTAAAGCTTATTCACGCATCACCATCATTGGATTTCGTTTATACATATTATAAGTTCAGGATGTTGAAAACATACTCTCTAATTTGTTTACAGAATTTTTTTGATCGAAAGGTTAAAAGAACTTTTTTAATTTCTTCATTTATTGTACTACTGCTGTTACAGTGAGCAAAGATATCAAATATTTGTGCCATGTTGCATTCTACGCACATGCACACGCACAAACCTTAACAAAAGTTGCGTGTTTTTGGAAGGTTGTACCACAATCACCATTTTCGGATCCTAGACTTAGTGGTACCGATATTCCAGACCTCACAGGTACATGTGTCCGCCATGTTGAAATGGCAGTACCCACACAACCGGTATAGTGTTCTTATGTGAACTTTCATTTACTCAGAATGCCAAAATGTGTCTGTTCACAGGAAGAAGTTTCATGTTATTCTTCTGCACAACAGTTCTGCTTCTGAAGCCTTGATCCTCTGTGCTTCTGAACACTACAACTTCGCCAGCTTGATGGAAGATCTACCACTGCGTGGCACTATTAAGGTACCCGTGCTGCAATTTGCATGTGAAGATTGCAATTTGCGTGCTTCTTTCATTGTTGTTTTATGGCGTATTTATATTTTATTTATGTGCGCACTTTGGTCACATTTTACTCCAAAGTTTCAGTCCAAGCATGGAGGCTAATCTCAGAATGATCTAGACACCTCTCTCTTCTCTTCTCTTCTCTTCTCTTCTCTTCTCTTCTCTTCTCTCCTCTCCTCTCCTCTCCTCTCCTCTCTCTCTCTCTCTCTCTCTTGAACATTTCATAACATGGTAAAAAGGTACCGTAATGCCCCCATATACTTTACAGTTATTATTGCAGGTGAAAAATTATGCCACTTCAACTGGGGCAGACCTAATAATGAGAGGGATGATTTCTAAAATAATTGGTGCTTGAAGTGCATGAATCATGATCTGTACTAAGTGGACTGACAGAAGTTCTTCTGATATATCTGTTTCTTTTTGTTCTCATGGATTTTTTTTAAGCAGGTGTAATTCTTGTTTTGTCTTTCACAGTTAAATTTTCACTCCTGTATGAGTGTCAGTAAATGTATGATATGTAAATTTTTATTCTGGTATGTATCTGGACTTTTGATGGTCTGAAAATTATGTTGATAGGACCAGTGACTTTTGACTTCAGCCTTTTCTTCTTAATACTTATCACATTTTTGTATACAGCAACACAAAAGATGGCCTTCTTTTTTCACAGCACCATGAAAATTAAAATTTTAAATTCAAGCCAAGCTTTTGTTTCTGCTTCGCTCCTCTTGTGTTTTTCCAGGCTAATAGAATTTTTGAATCCCATTTGTTTCCAGTCAAATAATCAGCCACTGGAGAGGTAATTTAAAGAATTGACTTGTATTATTCTGTTATTTATTATTATAACATAATTAAAATTAAATCCGTGGCATAACAGCTCCTGAGAGCCAAAGCCGACTAGCTTGACTGCTGACCTCACGTTCACATGCCTAAGCAGAGGTGAACGATCATCCAACCAGATATAGGGTGATGTGTGGTCAACACGACGAACCCCAAGCCATCGCTAGCTTTCCTGACTGGATTACGCTACTCATTGTAGCTCCCAAATTTCCTCACGATGCTGTGTTGGCACTGGTCGAAAGCTCATGAGAAAATTTCTTCTCCCCGAGACTTAAACCAGCGCCAGTTCCGTATCGCCGGTCCGAAGCATGATGCCTCAGACCACGCGGCTACTGCGCGGGACATTATAACATAATTATAACCAATAAAAGAACAAGAAGAAATCGATACATGTAACGTGTATATATATCACATATTTTGTTTCTAGAATAATTGCATGTAATATTGCTTGCTTTAATCTGTATGTTTGGATGCTTAATGCTGTACTGCTTGTTCATTGCTTGAAATAGTGTATTGCTTTAATCATGAGTGCTGTTTTTCACATAAATTTGGTATGATTAATGCAGTTGTATTAAAATCAGTCTGTTACTTGGGAAGATGTGTGATGTGTGTTTCTTGTATGGGGAAGTTGTGTACAGAAAATTCAGTGTTTGCGTTTGGGTGCCATTCTGTTATGACATAGACAGATGCCAGGAAGAGGATGTATGATTAAAAATTAAGTCACATTCATGGTAAAACCTGAGTTTGTTAAAGTTTGAAAATTTAAATGTATGTTTATCTCTTGAGTTTTTCTCATGTAATGTAATTACATGTTTCTCAAAATGGATGCACCATTTTTATCTAGAACACCAAAATTATTGAGGTGAAAATGTTGGACTGTTAAAAACAACTTAATTCTCATAAAATGTATGTACTTGTGGTTGTGTAGAATGGACACGCTGTATACAAAACGGGAAATGCTTGTTATTTAATAGAAGTATAGTTGAAGATATCCGTCTTCTGGGTTGTTGCGCTGTGTAGCGCAACAACCCAGAAGACAGATATCTTCATACTCACCGCTGTGAGAACCTCAAGTCTTACAGAAGTATAGTTTATTGAGAAGTTATAACCGCATTGTAATAAAGTGGTAATTTCAGGTTTGCCACGCGAAATAAAAATAAATGAAAATTAGTTATAAATAATGGCAATCCAGTGAGTCCCTTACACATTGAACTATCAAGAGATGGTTAATATGAGGTTTGAAAAATTAATATAGTAGTGTCCAACAAAACTGTGTTGTGATTTAACATTTTCATAGATCTTTGGCAAATCTGAACATTACTCAAACTGCATGTTTAAAATATGATGTAGAACTGAACTTTTGAAAAATTTCGCATTGTTTGCATAGCCTGCCTAGGTTCATAAAACAGATTACATCATTACAAATCTATTTTGACCATTTGTGTATAAACTTGATTGACTTTTGGAGGTGTTGGGTAGGTGCTTTATGGATGTGACCCATATTTTGAAAGTAAGAATGTCATTAAAAGCTGTGCATGGTATGGTATTGAAATAAATATTGGTTTTGGCATTTTCTTTTTGTTCCCATCGTGTTGAAATTGTTTGTTTTATTTTCAGTTTTCATTGACAAACAGTTTCAAGGCACTGTGGTCTTCTAGGTTGAATCAAATAGTATTTTGGCTGTATACTGCAACCCAGAAGACCACCATCTATGTTCACATTGCCAGTGAAACTCAAATTTTAAATTCAAGCCAAAGTATTTTTTACTGCTTGGCTCCTCATCTGTTTCATCAGGCTAATAGACCCTTTTCCTGAATCCCATTTGTTTCCAGTCAAATTATCAGCCAGTGGAGATTGTAGTGTCAAATTTGCCTGAGGATAAGGATCAAACTCGCATCAAGAATCGCTTGAAACAGCTCTCTGGAAACTGTGGTGGAAGGGTATTATCTATTATAAAATCCACCGCTACTCTCCGCTTCTCAACAGGCGAGTTTGCAACAAGGTAAGACCACATCATTCTGCAGGAGTCTGAGGTCGCGCAGGTTGAGATGAACTGTTTTGATCGTTACTTGTCTGTTGCAAAGATGCACTGTTTCGGTACTCTGTAGGCTTGAATTTTTTTAAATAGTGTATCCAATGCAACCATTATATTGTTTCAGCCCAGGCTATCCTGCCATGTGACTGCCTTTTCTTGAATGGTTGTAAAGTAAAATGTTGAAATGTATATGAGCAAATTTGGTGAAATGCAGATTGCGATATAATCTGAAAGTGGGCATGCAAGAAAATGAGGCTTATGTGAAATCTCAGAGCGCACATAATTGGTCCAAAGTTGCAGATTTGTCCATTTGTAAACAGGTTTTTTTATGGCTCCACCAAAATATGATCAGCTTAGATAACTTTTGTCATGCAAGTTAATACTGCTGAGAGCATTCAGGGGTCATTATCCTTCAGGAAGATTAATTTTTCATAAATTTTTATATTGCTAAGGTAAGTGCAAGGATAATTTTATATTGAGGGATGTAATGTGATATCCAGATCATTTCTCTCAGGTTCTTTTGGAACAGAATCATATATAAGGCAGTTCTATAACAGGTTTGTTCTGGAAAATCACTGCTGACCAATCACCCACCTTTTTTTCTGCCCCCACCTCCACCCCCACCACTGTCTTCCACTTAAGTCATGTTTAATCTACTTCCTTTCTCTTAGTTGTGCTTTTGATTGCAAAGGGTCTGTGTGTTTTAATTTTCATGTCTAGGTTGATGATACTAGATATTTGTAGTCAGTTCCTAATTCAGTTTAAAAATATAAACTGGATTTATTTGTTATAAACATTTGGTTTAGATAAGAACAATGTTTCCACCATATTTCAACAGAGGGAGGTTAGTTTTATGTATTGAATATTAGGTGTTATGTAGTGAAGTTAGATTATTTACTGATGTGTATTAGACACAGGAGAACATTTATAAATTTAAATATGTGTATGAACACATCCAGAGAAAGAAAGTGGGGTTAAGATGTACAAGCATTATGTGGCCAGGAAAATGTAGAAACATGGCTATTACAGAAAGTGGATTGGAAATGTGAATTTTATATTCATTACATTACTACAATATTTGAATTATGGGACTATGTATGTGGTATTTAATTTGTGGTTTCTATGTATGGGCAATTAAATTTGGTCAAAATGACTTGCTGCTGCAGATTTTGTTTGAGAATATTAGGTCATATTTCAATGTGGTTTGTCTGCCATATGTTTATCTGAGTTATGGTAAATTTATTTTTTTGGTGGATTTTATTAGAATGTACGAATTTGAATCAGTGGATGTAGACGCGGACATGTAAAATGTGTTTTGACATACTTTACATTTTATTTCACGTGAATAGAATAGAATTGAATTTATTTACATCCCACTTCCAGTCATCTGTAGTATTAATGTAGAAATAATTACACAACAAAGCACCGTTTGCTTACACATATTTATGATAGCTGAGAATTTTTGGTTGGTGTAAAATCTGTCGAGTAGGAGGCGCGAGATAGGAGGTACTCTTTTAGTGCTGGCTTGAACATCTTTCTATCATGATTTCAGACATTTTATAGTAGATGGAAGATTGTTGAATAGCCTTATTCCAGTATATTGAACTCCTTTTTGATATTTACTGAACTTAATATTTGGCACATGAAGGTTATGTATGTATCTAGTACTTATGTTGTGGATATCTGAGTTTGTTTGAAATTTTTCTATGTTGTTCATTACAAATTATAATGTGAAACGGAATTAGCCGACTTGTGGAAGAATATTAAATTTGATGACTTTGTGACATTTCACGTGGACTGGTTATGTGCAACTTTTGTCACAGCTGGTAATTAAAATTGAAACTTACACTAAGCTTCAGACTTACCTCACTTTATTCATTTTTGGAATTTCTTCAACACATCAGATGCTAAGGTTGCACTGCTGTGATTTGGATGCTGCTGAATTTTATGGTATTTCCTCCACATAATGACCAAAGGGAATAAAATTTGAACTCCATATTGGACAAACAAACTTATATATAAAAACAGTATTATGTGTTAAATGAACTATCATGGCCAATCTTTTAGCACTCCCAGTTCATATTTGGGAGATCCCGGGTTGAAAACTCAACCTAGAGACAGGTTATCCTGACTTACGTCTTTCATGGTTTTACTTAGTCACGCAACATTATACTATAAATTAGGCCCCAAGTGCTATTATGTCTTTACAATTCATAATTTACTAATAATTCAACCATTCAGTGCTATGTAGTCAAAGCTAGTGGGAGTATAATTAAATAAATCATAAATATAATTATAAATAAAGCAAATTATGTGTGGGAGTTCGCAATCTTATTCTGAAGCTCTTTGTTTTAAAGGAATAGACATTCATTCAACACATCTTCATCCTTTGTCATGTGGTACAACATTGCCAGATCCTCCGTGATCCGTATAATGGAATTAGGTCGATCCATTTAGAAGTTTCATTTATTGTTACATGTGACAGGTAGGTGGTTTGTGGGCAGTTTATGGACTACAATTATTTACTTTTAGAGCTCAGAAGCGGATGGATGGAGAAGATGTGTTTGGTCGCAAAATCACTGTTGCCTATCCAAATAGGGTTCTGGAGCGGGATAAGAAAGAGGGGTCACCCTTGAAAACTCAATCAGGTAAAGAATACTTTATTTCAACTGTCAGAGAAAGATTTTAGGCTGGATTTCAATGTGAAAAATCCCCTTTCATGACCCTTTGATATCTTTAAAATGTATAGGCCAAGTTTTGTGAAACTATTGATATGCCCTTTTTGAAGTTGCTCAAACATGCTGTGTTTTAAACTCCAGCTGTTAACAATTGCAATATAACATCTTCTGACCTGTGAGTTGGAAGTTACTGTGGAAATATCATATTTAGCATTTTATTCTGAAACTTTAAATCCCGCTGCAAGTATGGTTGTAAGAGATGCAACAGCTGTCATGGTAAGTAAAATTTTAACTGAAGAATCTGCAAGAATGTGTCAGCAGAATATTGACAAGGTTCCACTGTGCAAATGAATGTAGTTACAAACTACTAAAAGAGCAATGGTAAAGTTGAGAATCAGCTGTTATTTTTCAAAAGTAAAGGTTATGATGGCTTCTTCTTGTTATCTGACATTTTTAAGTGCTTTGTGGAAGATAAATTAATTTTAAATAGGATCACACATAGTGAAAAATAGCCCTCTACTCTTTGTTTCATTTTGACGGTATATAACATGAAAAATTCACACTGACAAGAACAATTTTGGTCTGGGAAGAATTAATATGATGCCTGATTTCCTAAACTCACTCAAAACGTTGTAGTGGATCTAGTAGGAATAGTAAGTTAATACTGCAATATAGTAGCTTTAATGCAGAAATTTGTCATGCAGTAAGGAAGCAGAAATGCAGCTTGAAGGAGGAGGATGAGAACCAGCAACTTGCCCACACTGCCATTGGGTCTACCTCTTGCGAACAGTCTGCATCTTTTTCAAGCCTCTACCATTCTACACCAGCAGGACTTAATGTACTCAGCTCAATTCCAGTCCCTGATTTTATTCCGCGATCGCCGCAGAATGGCTGGAATGTACTAGCCAATGGGAACACTTTCTCTGCTGCACTGTCATCAGAATTCAATTACCCATTACATAATCAAGAGAATTGTTGGTATGAAAGTGCAATGTTTAGAAGTCCTTCAGCTGAATGCATTGAATTTTCAACAAATAGCAAGAAGAACTCAAGAAATCAGTCCCCTCTCACAGGTGAGTTACAGGGGCCTGATAGAGGGAGATGTAATTTCAGGTACCAGGTCGGATGGCATTCTCATATTTAATTTTCTCTGTCATAGTAGTATAAACATTACTTGTAATATGGAGGGAATTTCAGTATCATATTGTAAGTATAGATTAGTTTTTCAAGTTTTGACAGCCATCTCTTTATGCAATTTCTTTGAGGTTTAACAAGTAATGCTATTTGTTTTTCATTCATATAAATTAATAATAATAATTTGCTGATTTTTCTATGTCTGTGAGCACAGGTTCTGACTAGCGTTAAATGTGTCGGTTATAACCACAAAGTTTACTGTGCAGATATACAGTATTTGATATATTTATTACAATTAAAATTTTATTTGCTAAGTTTTATTGGTCATTAGTTACCATCTTCAAACTGAAAGGTAAGTACAGATTTTGTGTAGTCGCCTTGTTTTCTATTCCGTCAAAACATTATCTCGCAAAAAGTTATTTCAAAGATTTATTAAAACAACAAAAATCCGTGATCTGTCTAGAAGTGGTACAAGTGTTTGTCCACTCTTATTTTACATAACTTATTTGTTTATTTACAAGGAGATGTCTGGAAGAGTTTTTCATAAGAAGGATGTTGTTACATTTTGTAAGTTTGTATAAAACTTGTAAAAATTGAATTGTATTGTTTATGTAGATGTTTTTGAAAATTTTATTTTGGGACTCTCATAGTGTTTTTTTAATACCAGAATATGTGGACATCTCCCCGTGTTTCTTAGGCTGGTGACAGTAAGAATTATTAACATTATTTTGAAGCGACACGCTTTCTGTACTGAATATGCGCGCTTAGTTAGTTACTGCTATGTGAAATATTTGCTTTTATTATGTTGATTCTTTATTATCGTGTGAATTGTACTTGTAATATGTATGATCTTATCTTATATTATGAATTATTCCGCATTGTTTTGTCATCTGGCTAACTTATTGATTATAATAAAGATATATAATGTATGTATGTGATGCTCTGGCTCTCGTGAGGTTAAAGGTTCTCACAGCAGTGAAGATATTGATGTTGGTCTTGTTAGCTGAATGTTTAAGTTAAATTCATTTTGTACCTTGGAGATAACCCTAGAAAATTCTTGGTTATTATATTCAGCAAACCTGTTCAAGTTTAGGTTATTATGTAGGTTACTCATGCAAGTACTCCATAGTCAGTTCAGTTTGGTTTAATTCTGCATTATTAGATGAACTTCATGTAGGCTAACCTATGGCATAACTTTTTACCATGCCGTTTAATGTACATTGTATCATGTCATCAGACTAGTCAATTTGAATGTTCTATTTACACTGTGTTTAGTAACCAAACATTAAGAATTAATGGGAGTATTTAATTTTATTTAATTCTTTTGCGTTTGGTGGAAAAAGGTTAATCTACTTCTTTACTGACTCATACACAGACTGGACACATTAATCTGGTTACTATCATAAATTGAGAGAAATTTCTGAACTTATAGTAAATTTATAAAATATCCCAACATCCCTAGTATTACAGTGAGTTTATTTGTATCTTGTTTCTGTTCACCAGGTGCATGGCAGGGGGTAAAAGGATCAGCTGCAGAGGAGCTGAAGCTGTTAACGGGGACAGTAAACCAAGAAGTAAAGACACGCATTATGACAGCCAATGGGAACTCAGAGAAAACTCCAGAAGGTTATCGAAGGATCAGGGGTACTCATCGAGGTTGGTTAATTTGTCTGTGTAGGAATGTAAACCATGACTTTGCTTGTTCCAGATAGTCTTAATTTTTGAGTAATTTGTGTGTGGTGCAAAGACCATGTAGCATATCATTCACAGTAGGACTGAATGGGTTTAATTTGTCATGAGTTATATAATAACTAAATAATGTCAGTTTAAATGAATAGGGTACAAGCGTATGAAGTAAAACTGTTATGTAATAAAGATATAAATATTTTTGGACTTTATTATTGAACTATTTCTGAACCAAGAAATTTGTGAAGCAGAAATAAAGGACAGAGTTTGATATGCCATCCATTGAAAAAGTTGAAAGATATCCGGGAATTGAAGAGTTCAGAATGAACTAAATATTATATGAGATTCCCTTATGTTTTGATTCATACAGAGTATCTAATTTAAGAAACCTTTAGGTAACAACGTACAAAATTTGTGACCTCCCCTGAATTATTTCATAAAACAGATTTTAAAGAGAGTGTTCTTGAATTGCTGAGCAAATATCAATATTTTAAAGGACTGTGCTCCATGTAATTAGTTTTGTTTTCTGGTATTTCCACAAACATTTTCAATTTGTTGAAGTTGTTACTTGTATACTTAATTATTATTTAAAATGTGTATGGAGATTTCAATTTACAGATAAGCAATTATAATTTTATTAAATTGGTGTTCTTTGCACATAAACATTTTGTAGAAAGTGTAATAGTAATAGTACTAGGGCACATATATGTAGTAAGAAAGAAAAGGATTTGTTCAAATATTCCAGAAAACTATTCATTTGCTTAGTGAAACTTTTTGCTTGGTAATAAGATTCACGGTTTCAGCGTGTGTCAATGACGAGAACTCCAGGATTCAGCAGTACCAGGAACAGTTTTCAGCAGTTTCTTCCCACCACCCCATTACAACCTTCAGCAACTTTCTGTCGCGCAATTTGGGGCCATACAGTCGTAATGAGGTTAGTGGTCCAAGAAGATTTGTACTTCAATCTGGTTGTCTTATTGGCTACGGAATACAATGGCCTTTTCTAAATAATTTTGTAAATTTTTGTGTAACATATAATTTTATAAAATAGTATTTGTTATGTAATCATATCTGTATTTCCTGTCCTGTTTAAATTTCTGGTTTGTCCTGTGTCAGTGACAAGATCTGCCGAACAGTCTTCTGACGGTTCCTTAACAGGCTGTATGAAATGCCAGCATGAACAAAGTGCCTAGGCAGGTAGCTTTACTTTTAGACTTTCATTTTTTGAAATGTAATGTTTCATGTTGAATGTCTTAAGCAAGAATAATTGGACTGAGCTTGATGGCGAGAACTTCATAGGAAGAAAGATATTTAACTGTATTGGGATTTCCAGACAAGGCTATAAAACATCATCTTATAGGAATAAAATTCCTAGGAATGCCAGAAGTTGTGGAAAGATATTGTTTTTAATATCTGTAATAGGCCACCTTATTCTAATAGTTGAAAGAATGATCAAATGGCTTTGATGAAAATGGATGCTTTGTAACTAAAATAGCAAGACAGCTTTGTGTGAAGTAAGCGAACTTTTATAACGGTTTGTGGCATTAGACATTGTTTTCTGTCAGGTTTCTGTCCTGAATAATGTCGCTGCAGGAAGAAAGTGTAGAACGCCATCTCCATACACAGTGTCGGGAGCGGATAGAGAAGGGTGGCAGTCACAGAACACGACCTGCAGCGATACCGAACGTGAGGAGCTTGAAGTGAGTATGTTCACACCCAAGGAATATTGAGCCATTTAATGCTGTACTGTGCTTACTATCACCATTCAAACTAACATTTCTGTTATTTGCTTGGTATGAATAGCGTACAGCTAACAGTGCCATGTAGAATGTCATTGAGTGGTGAATACCTGTGCTTTCTGTCCAGTTGCATTAACCAAATCATACAATAACAGAATATGTGGTAATGCAGTCTAAATATTCAACACTACTAATTTTAAAACATGCCATTGGATATGAACCTGGGCCAGTTCTTCTCACAAACTGTTTACATCTGTATTCACCTGCAAAAATATTATTTTGACAGCTGCCGCTATCACTCTGTCTTCCCATCTTGAATTTCCGAGTGGCCATTTTTGAAAAGGGAAGGCAAAACTATATGTTTCCTTTTACAGCATTACTTTCATCCCATTTCATCTTCAAAGCTGGGAACAAATGGTTCACTGTTAAGTAGTGCACCCTGCAATAATCCAGTAGTACTTCAAGTTACAAACCTGGACCAGAACATTGATGCCAAAGATCTGAAGAGAATGCTGCTCTCTGTGTTTAGAGAACATGTGATGGTGAGATGATAAATCTTGTGTTTACTATTCTTTTGCTTGACATCATTTTACTTTTATTTTAATTCATGGATCTGAGGATAGTTGTTGTATGTTTACAAATTATGAAATGCATGAGAAGCAATCTTTATTAAATTGTATGTGGCACATCTACGTTTGAGTTACAGTTTGAAATAATGCATTATCCATCAGACATTTAAAATTTTTATTGTCTTTCTCTACTTTCTTTAACCAGAGAGAGTGATCTCTGAATTGTAACATCTAAGTGAGTTGAGGTTACGGATGTTGTTTTTCTGGGTTGTGACACCATGCAGATTTGTAGGCAGGTACTGATGTTTCTCCAATGATTGGTGTCCACGTGTGAGTCCACATGGCATTACAACACATAAGAACATCAACTGTAAGGCTAGGGACCCACTGGCCTAACATGTAACTTCAGAAATACGCTTTTTTCCAAGTAGTACTTACTTATTCACTGAGAACCAATTCAATGGTTAAACCTGCATGAATGTAATGAGAATATTGTTAATTTTAAACAATATACTGCGTTTGGTGCATTTTTTTGTTTTGTTTATAGGTTCTTCATGTATCTGTGTTTGTGCAATCAGATGGTAATTATGCAGCTCATGTGAAAGTGCCTTCGTTGCAAGATGCTCAGTATGCAATATCACAGCTGCACCGACGGAAAGTCGGGTACAAACGAATCCTCATATCATATGCCAATAGTGGTGGTCCCAGTCCACAACTCATAAGGTATGGACGTAATCAGATCCATGGTACAAGATCATTATTGAGATTTAAGATTTTCACAGTGAGGATGATGGTGATGATCTGGGCTTTGGCGCCATGTAGTTATGTTTGTATCTTCAGCCTGTTTCTCCTCAGTAGTTTCTTCCGCTGGTACCAGTAATTAGGGATGTCAGTTGATATTAATATAGATTGTGCAAGTTAATAACTGATTCTTTGGAATAGAGTCCTTAGAAATTGAAGTGACCGACATGAACAACGGCAGCTGAGTTTTGGGAACTCCTGCACATTTGCTATCTTGTGCCATTCAACTTCATGGAGTTGGGTTATAAAGTATTCAGTGAAGCAGACACCATTTTGTATCTCTCTCAGCAAGTCAAGAAATTTTCTGCCTCTCCCCCCCCCCTTTTTTGTGTGTGTGTGTGAGAGAGAGAGAGAATCAAATGAATCCCATACACACCCTCCTACCCTGTTTCTCTAAGATTTATTTTAATTTTGTCCTGCCATTTATGCTTAGGTCTTCCTGGTGATCTCTTCCATTCAGATTTTCGAACCAAAACTTTGTGTGGATTACTCATCTATCTCATGTTTGTTTCATCTCCCGCACTTACCCCCCATTCTCATTGATTTGATTATGCTGCTAATATTTGGAAAAGAGTACAAATTGTGAAGCTTCTTGTTACACAGCTTTTTTACCATCCTCTTTTAAGTTAAACTTTCTCATTGGCACCCTTTTCATGATCCTCAGATACTTTGTCTATGTTTGTGTATCAGTTTATTTTCATAATCTTCAGTGTGTAATTTTGACCATGGATCCTCTTGTTTGTTTATTGCCAGGGCACAGATTATTTCTCTGCTCCTGGAAGTGCCAGGGCATTGCCTGCCTTTGTTCAAATTCCATGAGCTGTTTGAGAGCCGCTACCTCACATCCATTAGTATGTCGGACATGTACAAAATGAAAGATGTTTGTCTGATATCAGAGGAGTCTACGGGGCGGATGGTGATCCTGAATCCTGACCACCGTAACACCCCGTCACCAATTTTAACCTCATCAGTGCAGGTAAACAGTTTGTACCTCTTCTCTGAGAATGATTTTAGATGAATTTGGAGGAGGAGATTTTGGGAGGGGGGGGTCTAATTTATGTTATTTAAATAACAGTATGTTCTAGTGCTCATACTTAAGATGATATGTAATTTTTGCCATTGCAGAAGTTGGATATTTTTATAAAAAAGGCAAACATTCATTTATATGATCTAATCAAAAACTGTTGATGCTGAATTATTTCAGTAAATCTGCTAGATCATGAAACTTTTGACAAAGGATTAAGTTTAATTTGCAGAATATTCATAGTTGTCTTTTGTAATAACATCTCACTTTATTGTTTTATTATTATTATTATTAGCTATGACAGCATTTGCTAACAAGGAGTTTCTTCTCTGTTTGTAACATATTTGCTTATTCAGCTATGTTCTTAGGTGTCTATAGCAGCGTATGTACTATGAGATAGGCACAAAGTGTTAAAAGAGTATTTAAGCAACATTATGTAGATATTAAGCTATAATGTTATCTTATCAGGATGGCCAGTCCATGGAACTTCCGTTCTGCATTCTTCATTCACGTAAATCGGGACCAGACAAAGGATGGGCCGAACAGGAAATGGGAGTGTTGCCAAATGTTCGCATTGGACTCAGAGCGTTTGCTGTACATATTCACATATTGCTTCAAACACACAATGGTAGTCTACCACTTCCCAGGTATGGAAAGTATTTCATTTTGATAGTATTAGGAATTTGTTCTGTGTGTTAGAAAATTTTACAAGTAATGTAGACATTTGTTAATAAGCAGATAAAAAATGTTGGATGTTGGGGTTTGGTTTTGTAGAAATAAGTAGGATTACAAACAGGAACATGAGTATTTTGCTATTGTCAATAAATCTGTGATTAATCTGGCATGACATGGGTGTTCTTGATGACAGGGTCATAGGCCGTGGTTTGTTGCCTTGTTTACCATTTTTGAATCAGTCCAGTTTTTCTGAAGGTACATAGACTGAATATTCTACGGTAATCTTCATATGGAACGCGTTCAAAACGCAGTCAAATCCAGCACATGACTATAAAATTTTCTGATGCTGGGAATTGAAGTGAAATTTGTAGCGCCCACTGTTCAGTTTTATCACTGTAAATCACATAAACTGAATCATGTTTTGTAGTTAAGTTTTTGCAGCTGATACCTCAGCAACAATTTACCAGAGTTTCAGACAGTTTATTTTTCATCTTATGTTCCTTTGAAGTATGCTGTGCACATCACTTCTTACAAGTGGTTGCATGTCATCTTACTACATTATGTAATTAATTTTCAGTCTGCCTAATTGCTATGAAGCACAATTTGAGATTCTGGAAGTGGATGACACAGGTGTGCCATTAGAACATCTTGTAAGCTGCCTGCCTGGTATTGAGATCTACCAAGGAGTTGGTTGTGTCAAATATCTGCGCTGGCTTAAGAGTAAAGCAAATGAAGATGGGCAAATCGATGGTAACTTACAGCTGTTATAGTTCCTTAATCTTTGGATCACTGTCAAGAAATATTGTTATCAGTTGGGGTATTGTCTTACTCAGTACTTCCTTGTCATGATGTACGTTGCTAAATGCTTCAGAAAAAGCAGTAAATAACTTTGATGTGAATCTGTGTTCGGGAATGTGCGTACATTCTACAGGAGTACGCCATGTTTGCACTGGCATGATCAGTAACGTGGTGGTCAGGGTAACCTTGACTGTACTGTCACAAGGAAATTTGGGAGAATCCGTTAATTACTTTGGGTTGGATTGACTATAAACTTGTGCAATTTTCATTTTATAAATTTAATTGGCATGTGGAATTTATCGGGAAGTAGGTACCAGGACTTTACAATACATCACTCAAATGTGTTTGATGTGTTGCAGATCCGATAAAGTGTGTCAGTCCTGCTCTTGCCACCCAGATGGCTCTGTTCAGTAGAGAGCTTGTGGATCTACTGAAAACCTCCCCACACTGTCAGTTACTTTTCAGCCGGTTTATCCCTGCATATCACCACCATTTTGGAAGACAGTGCAGAGTAGCAGATTATGGTTTCACAAAGCTCATAGATCTCATGGAGGCTTTGTCACATGTTGTGCAAGTAAGAACCAGCATATTAATTCTGCCAGAATCGTGTGTGGTACAGTTTCACTGTGCATGAACAATACTGTTGTTGTTCAGAGTATGTTTAAGGTGAATGTTTCTGGGATGTTATACTGTGTGATTTGGTAGGAGTTTTCCAGTACTTCAGAAGTATATCATTAAATTCTTAATGATGGAGGGTGCATGAATATTGAATTGCAAATATCAATAGCTCTGTGACAGTTGATAATCAGACCTATGTTTATATGACATTCTACAAGGGAATAATATCAGGAGTAAGATGCCCGACATATTGACATCAAGTCACCAGACGCTTTGTGAGTGTAGTGATAGTAAAATTAATATGAATAACTATTAGAGAGAGGAGGCTAGGGCTCGATTTTGGGCTGTTACGCCATAGTAGTAGTAGTAGTAGTAGTAACTATTAGAGAAAGTTGGATGTACATAGAAGAAGGGAACCTCATTTCTCATTTAATTATTTTCAGTAAAAGATTGTTTTGACTTCTATGACAAAGATGATGCCCGTGGAGTGTGCCCAAGACTAGTATAAGATCAGAGCGCTATATTGTTCTTTTTCAGGTAATGGGAGATGGCAATAAAAGAGTTATAACTCTCTCACATCGAGCCCAAGTACGTCGCTTCACGTCTGATCTACTACGAGTTCTGAAGTCGCAGGCAAGCAAACAAGTTACTATGTCAGAGTTTCCTGCGGTCTACCAGCGTGTTCTTAATCGACCATGGGACATTGTGGATTATGGTGTCTGTGAATTCAGAGACATGCTGGGAGAAGTGTCAGAGAATGCAGTTGTCGTCTCAACTCAGGAAGATGGCGATGTAGTAATTTCAATACCAAAGAGAGAACAAACACCAGAAGAAATTGAAAAGACTAAACAGTTCGCAGGAGAGGTTAGGAATTTATGAATATTATTGTGTTTGTAGCTGTTACATTGTTTCTGTGTGCAGAACTTCATCATATACATTCTAGTTGTTAAAGTTTGATTCTGCTAATGCAAGAAATTGTGTAACTGCTGGATACAATGGCAGCAGTGTAGGATACAATAGGCTAGTGTAGTTCAGCTACCACAGCAGAATATACTTGGTGCACAGTAATAATGTGGGTTCTGAATTGGATGTCTTGAAAGTTGTAACACTTCAGACAGTAGCGGATCAAGAATGTGGGATTAGGAAATTATTCAGATTGTGATACCATGTTGTCATGTAATTGGTTACCAGCATTTGAAGCAAATGTACTGCCAGAACATTGGTAAATATGAATGGGACTAGGTGGTGTCACAAGCCAGACATCCTCAGTCCCAAGTCTCTCATTGCCATTAAAAATCCAAATTTCATAAATAGAATTAATTTTTTTTCTGTACTGTATGGATAGGCTAAGAAGGAGGAGAATTTATAATAATGTTTTCTGAAAAAGGCATAAGGAAAGTGTTCCAAAATTTAATTACATAGCATTTCTTTGCTGTTGACAACACTTTTATTATTTTTATCCCCCTCCCCCAGGTCTTAATGAAAAATTTAGTTTCAGTGAATCTTAATTGCATTGAAACATGACACTGTGAAACATCCAGTATTTATTTTTGCCTATTGTCCTTCACTATTTCATCCTAGGAATGTGTAGTCTTTATGGTACAAATCCATCATGAAATCTTTTACGGGCCTGATTTAGCAGACAGTTATGGCACACGTACCTCTGTTTACTCTGTCATGTTTGCAATTAATGTTGCAGGTAGTAGAGCTTTTGCGCCATGCTCCCCAGTGCAGTATGCTGTTCAACAAATTTATTCCCGCTTATCATCATCATTATGGCCACCAGTGTCGAGTTGCTGATTATGGCTTCACAAAGCTCATTGAACTGTTTGAAGCTATTCCGCAGGTTGCTAAGGTATTCAGTTACTCAGTTTGAACAGTTGAATGCAGCTTATAAATGATAAAATCATATTTCATCTTCCTCTAAAATTTACCTGCTTTTGTAGGTTAGTTTTTTTTAAAAAAAAAGTGAGCACAAATGTTGAACAGTCTTATGTTTATTGAAGTTATCAACCTTGAAGACACTGAGAATCCCAAACACTTCTTAATAAAAGATCACTTATCTCTGAATTAGATTATATGTAGAGCATCCCACTATGTTTGTTTCTGGACCATAATAAAGCCAGGTTATGTGCTCTATGCATTAGCTTTGAAATTGTGTTTCACTTGTATATGAAAAGTTACTAGCAACACTAATGATACTGGGCAAGTTACCAATCAATTCTTCATTTGTTGAATGAGTCTTGTAAAGAAAGATTGTTAAGTGTTAGCTGGACTGAACTGGCTTACAGTAGTGTCCAATGGTGGGTTCAAAGAAAGAGGGAATTTCTTTACCTGGCAGATATAAACTGAGCAGGTGTCTCTAATCATTTGTCTTATTCTTATCTTTTTCATCACGTAGATTGAAGAAGATGGTGAAGGCGAGCGTAAAGTGATGCTCACATTAGAGGAACGGCTCAGGGTACTGGCAGAGCAGATTTCGGCTCTGGTACGCAGCCGTCGCTCAAATATGTCACTTTCTGCTCTGTCCATGGCATTTCTCCGTCAGCATGGTTATGCTCTCAAACCTAAGGCTTATGAATGTTCAGATTTGGAGCAGCTAATAAAACGCTTATATCATTCTGTTGCAGTAAGTACATAGACGTAAGACCAAACTGATCTGCTGGTATCAAGCCAAGATAAGTTGTCAGCATAGGAAAAGTAAAATTAAATAAATATCACCTCTTATATGTTGGTCACTTTCTGTGAGATGATACAGCACAGGGTCCCAGAAGACAGCTATTCTCATACTTACCACCATGAGAACCTGATATTTCATTTATTTTATGTATTGTTTACTTGAGCCACGGTGGTCTAGCGGTCAGAACGCTGGACTTGTAATCCTGGGGTCTCGGGTTCGATTCCCGGCGGTGCCCGAATTTATAACTTGTGTTGGGCAAGGCCGTGGTCTAGGCAACACGGAGTTTTCCTCCGTGGCATCCCAACAATTACTCCATTCACACACAGAAGAAGGCAATGGCAAACCACTTCTGGATCATCTGCCAAGAACGTATATGAACAGGTCCCAGTCCGAGAAAAGGATGGAAGGATCCTGTTCATATGGACCTGTCGTCAGACAGAACACTACGTACGTATTGTTTACTTGATGAGACTGTCAAATCTCAAACAAACATGCATTGAGTATTAGGATGATTAATGAATAATGACTTGGAAATATATTGGCTTAGTTTATGGTACTGTCCTGACATATGCTGGATGAACTATGGAAAACTATGGACGATATTAACATACACAGTCTTCAGGCGCAGATTTGAATTTGTGACTCCCAAAATTTGAAGCAGGCGTGCTAATTCCATAACTGTGCTGTTTGGTGTTGTAGCTAAGAATGCTGACTGACAAGATGTGATATGAATTGGGAGTGGAATAGCTTATACAGCTGTGAACGTCATGATTTAAATAATCTCTTTCCGTAGGTATGATGATATACTGAGATTTGAACTTTGGAGGTGGTGGAAGTTGAGTTCTTGTGAACTCCTTCTTCGTGCCTTGAGTTGTGATTTCTGAAGCTTTGATCTTATCTGACCTACTCTATGTGGATAGCTTTTAGATTAATTTATTTAGGCCATTTACTTCATAAGTTTTTTTATTTATTTTTTATTTTGCGCGGATAATACCACACCGTTGAATATTGCCATTTATCTTTGATGGGTGTAATACAGAGGTTGTGTCTGATAAATATGTGGCTGTCTTGTTGCATGACTTTAATGTATACAGTTATTTGTGGCAAAAGCACAATTTGAGGAAGTATGCAACATGTCTTGGATTTTTATGTTCTCAGATAAATGATTAAACATTGTTTTCCAGCATCTTGTGCCCATAATTTATAGTGAGTAATAGAGAACAGAATCTTGCTATCTTCTGTGAGGTATTCCTGTCAAATGTTGTGGTCGAGTGGGTGGCACTCCTGCTTCATATTCAGGAGGTTCTGGGATCGAATCTTGGCTTGGAGGCCGGCTGTCATGACTGGGTTTTTCATGGTTTTCCTCAGTTTATCCAGGCAGATGCCAGGATAATACCTTAAATTAGGCAGCGGCCACTTCCTTTCACATCCTTTACAATTCATTATTCACTGTCATCCTCTTATTCGACACTACATGGTCTGTGCTAATGAAAAAGTGTTGATAAATAATTTGAGGTATTCCTAAGTGTTGTTTTCATTGCTTTGATATAGTAACATTGCAGATTCTGATACAACTCTGTCAACATACTCTCCATTTTTTTCTATAACCAGCTAATTCTATGAAATAGTATCTATCTTGAGAAATTACTGGTTACATAGCTAGTAAAGAAATTCCATGCCTTTTATGAAACCTTTTATGACATTTGTTACTGTATTAATGAGACTCTACCAGGTTACCTTTTACCTAAATCCTATAATTGTATTTTCCTTCCTTATTTCATTATTATGGCATGTTCTGAAGAAGTATTGCTTAAATTGTAAACTAAATACTGTACCTAAAAATATAATGAAAAATATTAATTTAATACTTATCAACTTAGATTGTGTCCTCATCATGTGGACCTATGGTGACGCTAGTGGATCGTGCTAAGTTGCACCAGTTAAGTCTCCAGGTCCGACGTATCCTCATGGAACAACCTTCTGGCAAGATGTTTGCTGGAGAATTTCTCCGGACTTTCTGGAATTATTTCAACCAGTCTCTTGATCTGAATGAAATTGATAAGCAGCTAGCTGGAATCATACGGGTATGCCACTTATTATTATTATTATTATTAAGTGTTCTGTCTTACGACAGGTCCATTGCTCTGCCCAAAAAGAGCTCTCCAGTTGTCCCTATTCTCGGCGTATGCCACTTATGTAATTTAAATCAGAATCTGAGATGGCTTCCTGAAATCAGTGTTTATTAATAGAGAGTGACAGATATAAATTTAATTGATACATGGTTGTGTAAGATGCCATAGTATTTTATTACTTCAAAATATTAGTGTAATATGTACAGATTGCAAGAATTCTCCTTTATTAGTGTCCAACACCCAGTGAATCTATCCTGTGTATATTGAGTTTGTCAGATAGTTCCCCGGATTAGGTTCGTATTCCAGATTTTCTGCTATATTTTCATAATGTGTGCTCACATACGGAGTTCTTTGTGTTTTGCTTGAAGGCCATATAAAGTTGTGCTCTGTCAGTTGATGTAGTGATGTTGGATAGCTTACCAGATAAGTTTATTTGCTTATGATTTACTGCAGTTGCTTATAATGTATTTGATTTATTGACTTTCTCTTGCATTATTATCCAAAGCTTAATGAATCTATACTCTGTCTCTGAGTTGTGGTGTTTGATAGCCCCTGGATAAGTTTGTCATTGCATTGCAAGAACAGCGTATCTCCAGGAAATGTAACAGGAATTGAAGGTTTTTTAAAACATAATTTTTGATCTTAGCTGTTGGATAGCATGGGTTTCTCATTTTCTGAATGCGTACTTTAAATAAACTTTTTTCTAGGTAACAAAACATGGCGGAGAAAGAGTAATAGAGCTTACACCAATACAAATGTTTGCGCGCAATATGTATCACCTGCTGTTCGAGTCCGATGGTCGCCTGCCTCTGTCAGCGTTTGAGTCCGCATACCTTCGCATGTTTGGCGTTGTTTGCCAGCCATCACAATTTGGACAGTCCACTATCTTATCACTGCTTCAGTCCATACCAGGCACAGTCCTGTTGAGAGGGAAATCAAACAAGAAGACATTAATTCTGAACAAGGATTTGGCATGTGGGTATTTTATTATTTGTATATTCAGTATACAGTGAAACTTTGATTTTGAATTTTTAGATTGTTCGTCATAGTTTTAAACGGTGGGTAGTAATAATACATGTAGAAATATGTTTTCTGGTTTTTGTGTATTTTAGAGCTAAAAGATGATTTAGTAGGTTAACTAATGTGTGATCTGTGTTATGGCATGTCCTCTGGTTACAAATGGAGAAGAAAGCATCCAGTGAACTTCTCTAGAATTATTTTACTTACACGTATAAATCTTTATGAATGTAGGCTGTCTCTCATCCCATATTATACAATTTTCCATGTTACAGCGGTGGGTATACCGCTTCCTGCAAATTTCAATAAACAAAATGGAGCCCATATTGATGACGGTGATCCAGTGTCCAGTGGTGATTCTGAAATTCATTCAGATTGTGCCACTAAACTACTAGCATCTGAAAGAGTAGCTGATACAGCAGTCCAGACAGGTATAATGTGGTTATTTCATGTTTTCCCATCACTATGTTTAAGTGGTATATAACAGGGTGATTATTAATGGTGAACAAGGAGAAATTTAACAGGAAACAGTCATGGATTATCTCAAGATGTTCACTTGCTCGTACTGTGCTGCTGGTCTCCTAGCCTGGCCATTTTTAGCAGCACACTAATGTTTATTTGTGATTTTAAAACTGTAGAAACAGCCAGACATAAATGATGCATGCCATTTAACAGTTGAACTATCGAAGGAATGGAAGTAATTTTATGGAATAAGTATGACATATTTGTTTTAATGAATTGAGTCTGGCACAGTTATTTTTTTATATGCTTTCCAGAGTCAAAAGAGCAGTTGACAGAAGTTGATAGCTCAGCTGATAAATTCTTGAAGAGTATATTGGGCAATGGCATGTTTGATTCACCTACTTCTCCAAAGGAGGACTCACATGCGAAGGTAACGCCCATCTTCTTAACCCTTTGCCACACCTGTGATATGATAATGTAGTAAAGTCATATATCCTTTGTGCTACTTTCTTCCTTTTTTGTCCCATCTTGTCATATTAAATGTTACATAAGACAAATTTAAACTAGCTCATCTCATTGTTTAAAGTGTTAATATGGGCAGTTCCGTTGGTGCAATATAACTTGCAGCTTATTTTCTGTTAAGATTAAACCATAATGTGTTCAGGAAGAAATCATCATACTCACAGCTGTAAAACCTCAAATCTTGCGTCTTTTGGGATGTTGCACCATGTAGTCTGGTAGAAATTTCTCGATGTTTCAGATCAGGGTGATCGTCACCCTGATGATGGAGGCAGTAGTCAGTGAGCTAGTCATTCGTACATTAATTTGCAGCATATGAATTTCCAAATACAATGAGCATTAATGTTTTAGAGGCTGGAGCATTATTTACATATTTATTTATTTATTTGCAAAGATCCTTCATCCCTTGTGGTCAAAGCATTATTTACATATTTATTTCTTTGCAAAGATCCTTTATCCCTTGTGGTCACGTTTTTACAACCAGGTTGTATCTACGTTAGTATTATTCATAATGAACCACCAAAAGTTAAAGACTGAAGTATGTTAACAGCTTGATTATTGTTGATTGTCAGACTGTACACAATCGTAATTGTGTTTGGTTTAATTACATTTATGCATGTCCAAAAGGAACTTGGGTGAATCATTCTTTTTAATGTAATGAAGTAAGTCGTGATGACTTTCTAATCCCACTAGTGATTTTCTTCTTCTTTATGGGAGTGGGGCTAATTCAACAAATTACCTAATGGGAACCAAAGTGTTCCTTTGAAGGGCTGTAAAATACAGATGAATTGCTAACTAGTAACTTGAATCTTGTGCTGAGATTGGTGAATGCCTGAAGTTTTACCACGATGACAACAGTACATCTTAATGGCATAGGCTGTGGGGAAATTTTTAATTTTTTTTATTGTCCTATGCATAACAGTAACATCTAATGTAATGAGCCACAGGTTAATTGTTACTACTTCATGACTTTTTATTGGGGTGATGGCTAAGATGTGATGACCAATCAGAAGGCTGAGTCTGAGCACAAGTTAGCTTGAGTTGAGCTTATAGCTCCTTTTGCCAGCTTGTGCGTTGATCAGGCAAGAAGCTGATAACTGATCTTGGTGTTTCTATGTGGCATATTGGAGTGACTGAGGAAAAGTATGAAAAGTTTGTTGGAATAGATGAACTGCGGAATAAGTTTTGTATTCTTGATTCCTTATCACGTAGTTTATAAAGTTTATCTCCTTGCTTCTTATGCAACATAAATTGTAACCGCTTAATATTTTATATTGCATTTTCCTTTAGACCATGCACATGGTTTCATGCCCAGGAATTATTTGCTTGAGTTGTAAGCAGTCAGGATACGTAAGTCACTCCCAGAATCAAAAAATATATATACAATTATTTAATTGTAATTATTGATATCACAAGAATTTAATAGCAACTGATAGTTATTGTATATTACTGAAAATTCATGTTGATCTTCCTCACAGATTTGCACATGATATAAAATGATATACATTCATATGCATCTAATGACTAACAGTTTGCAATTTTTAATACGGCCGAGCTGACGTAGTCGTGGCAGTATTAACTAACATGGTGCCTGTATAGTCTAGTACCAATATACTTACCTGCTGGTCGCAGTAATGAGAGTCATAATGATATGTGGACTGAGGCTAATAAATTGCAGTTACAACAGTTCTTTTTCCAGTTAATTATATGAACTTTTTGTCAGTATCCATTACTGTCACAGACTTGCTTTCAGTTGCTAAGCTTACAACTCTTTTTCTATAGCTTACTTTCTACAAAGTGAGTATAGGTTTTTGTTGGAATGCCATGTCACTGATTTCTTGAACATTTTGCATGCCATATTGCTGACTGCTTGAACATTTTGCATGCCCACAACAGGCTTTTACAGAGAAGTTATGCAGCACAAACCATCGACCCTCAACATGGGGCCTTATGTGGGGAGGAGCCAGTCCTCCACAGTATGCACCCTACTGCCATTCGACAGCATTCAGTGCTTATATGGTATATGTTCTGCTTCTGCTGTATAGTTTTCTGTGTCGTTGGCTTATTGATACTACTGCACTAAACCATTTACAATATGGAGCAGTCTGTTTTTTAATAGTTTGTAAATATTTTTCCAAACATGTTTTTAATTGTTTATAGACAATATGGAGCAGTCTGTTTTTTAATAATTTGTAAATATTTTTCAAAAAAATTTTTGCTGTCATAGGGTAGTTACAGTGTAGTAATAAATTGTTACAAGACGAGAAAGACCATCATAATGGATCACTAGGAATTTGTTTTACAAGTCAACATCACTTACATGTCTTAAAGAATGTCAAATACAAACATGTTTTTAATTTGTGCTTGTCACTTGAATTTTTCATTTGTACCAATTTCACTGCCATGCACAATTTTGGAGCTTTATAATTTAATCTCATCCCCAAATATTATTAGAGTGGTCAAATAAAGGAGGATGAGATGGGTGGGGAATGTAACTTAGATGAAGGAAATGGGAAATGCATGGTAATTTGTACTCGGAAAATCTGAAAAGAAGAAACCACTTGGAAGACAAGGCATGAATATGAGGATTAATTTTAAAATGGGTCTTGATGAAATTAGGTGGAGTGTCAGCATCTTTAATTATGTACATTTTGTGAGCTGTTCATTTATTCAGTTCTGCGTTTAAAAGTGTAAAGCTGTCACGACCATTTTGTTCACAAATATGCGTCTCTGACTTGAATAGTTTTCAAAGAGATAAAAGTGGCAGCCATTAGCTGTTGTTTTCTGCTTAATTTCCAGGGAGGAACCACACCACCATGGCCTAAGGCTGCGTCGAACACTGCAGATACTTCTCCCACAAAGAGTCTGTTACCTTCACATTCCAGCTCTCTGTCTGTGAATTCATCTCCATCCTTCAATTTCCCTTCAGGTTGTCTGCCCCATGTTGTTCCTCCTGATCCCAGTGAACTTCCACTCCCGCAGCTGATCGGATCAAGGGCAGGAGGCAGCAGAGCATCAGAAGATACCGAGGACGATCAGTGGAGCAGCAAACCGAGCGGTGATGCAGAGAAGGATGGAAACCATAAAAATGATAGAGCCATGTCTACTGCTGGGGATAGTCTTGATAGTTCAAATGTTAGCATTGAAATGGCAGAGAGTGGACTTAGCACCCCAAACAGAACTAGGCGTAAGTTTTTACCTCATTGGATAGTTCATAGTTCTTGCATACAGTAGCATTCCCAGCCATATATAGTAGTGTCAGTTGTGGTCTTCTGGGTTGTGACATCCTGTGGTTACCGGTGTTCAGGAGGAACATAATACAGGAATACCTCGGAGATATTGCGGGTTCGGTTCCAGATCACTGCAATAAAGCGAGTCACACTAATTTTTTGGTTTCCCAGTGCATATAAAAGTTATGTTTACACTATACTGTAGTCTATTAAGTGTGCAATAGCATTATGTCTAAAAAACATTGTGAGAATTACCAAAATGTGATACAGGCACGAAGTGAGCACATGCTTTTGGAGAAATGGCGCCGATAGACTTGTTTGACGCGGGGTTGCCACAAACCTTCAATTAAAAAAAACAACAAACAATATCTGCGAAGTGCGATAAAACGAGGTATACCTGATAACCACCTGCAAGACTATATAGGACATCATAACCCAGAAAACCACTATGAACGGGGTTATAATCGTTTAACATTTTAATACAATTTCATGAGCTCTGTAATTATTTCAGTGCTAAATATTTTTGTTTTAAGATTGGTTGTCAGACTTTTAACCATTGCTTTTCAGACTGCGAACATTTTGAAGGATCAGTGCAGCAAGGAATGTCCCAAAGTCAAATTCACTACAACTGATGATGGCAAAGTTATGCATTTACAAGCTCAGGAAGCTGTTAGTGAAAGTTAGAAATGTTTCCCAAGCAAATCTGATGTGTTTCCGTTAATTCATATGCCAGCAAATTTCCTTGTTGGATCCATTATGCATTTTCTGCATGACTTTACCATCTTTCAAGTATAATAAAGTAATGACTTTTGAATGTGGGGAGTACTTTGTTTTCTGCCATTGTTCACTAAGCTGGAGGATCCCTTGGCCAGTCATCTTTGTCATTGACGTATGATTGCAAGTAAATAATGTCCTCTCTTTGTGCTTTTATTTCAGAAGTGGAGTCCTTCATCAGCAACTGGAAGACGAAAAAATAGTGCTGATGATTCAAAGTTGAATGTAACTTCTGTTTTTTGTGGGTGAATCATTTTATTACTTGACAAGTATACATCATTTGCTGTATATATTTTTTTTTTTCAGGCAAGAGGCGCTTAGCTGCTCAGTTCAACACTCCAATAGAAATGCCATGACAGCCTCGCGGCCAGCAGCATTGAACCAAAGTACCTGAAGCAGCAGTCAGGAGTATTATTTTGTATAGCACAAATGTCATGTTTTATTAGTACCAAGTATATATGTATCATATGTAAGTAGATACTGGTTGTGAATCATCATCCATGTCTGAAATGACCATCATGCAATGCAGTTTCATGGCCCAAGTACATAATGTTTTTGTTTACATTACATGGTACAGTGCAACATTTTATTCCCAGCATTTAGTGATGTGTGTGTGTGTGTGCTTGGCACTTGGATATTAAATTTCCAATCTTTTCCTTGAATTCTGTACTATTTTGAATACAGACGAGAGTAGAAAATCCAAATTTGCAAAGTTTGCTTTTGAGTTCACGTATTTACGTATGACATGTAAATTAAAATCATGTTTGTGTTGAAGTTCTGTACCACCAGCATGGCACTGACACATAGGAACTTAAGGGAAAGATTTTTTGTTTGTCTATTGATTTATTTGGAATGCATATTTAAATAAGGGGTGTATTACAAATCTAGATGTTGAGTTTGCTGTTGAGATGATGTAATAAGTATGTTATTGCTTTAAAGGCCAAGATACATTACTGTACTTTTCTTTGTAAATTAAATATGGAACTTATATCTAGCTATGCATATTTACTTTCTGATTCATACTATTGTTAAAAGTAGCCAAAAGAGTGAATCACAATTTTGAAGCTTTATTATAGTTTTGCAGTTTTTGTTATTATGCAACAAGCAATATGATATGAATCTTTCATGCTTTTATGTTTGAAAACTAAGTTATCAAAATTGTTTGTGATTTAAAAATTAATTTTGAGAGATAGAGGTTTGGGCACCAAGATGTATGTAAATATTTTGTTTACATTGAGGGATGAAAATGTTTTAATCATTGCTTTACATTATATAGATGTTTACAATTTAAGATAAAGAAGTGATGTGTACATAAGTTCCAGCTCACAGTTCACTTCTGTCAGGTCACATGCATCAGGGCCCCCCCCCCAAAGAATGTAGATTTGTGGTGATTTGGTGTTCACTTTCTGAACTGGTTTCCATTGTGATTTTTTTTTGGTCTGAAAGCGTACTTAGCCGCTCATGTATGTACACCAATGTGCATTATAACTTGGAAGTACTTACTTTGTTTTGTCTGTGTATTGTTGGAGCATGGGTTTATGGATGTTTATTAACAAGAGATGATGCTGGTTTTATAATTCCAAGGTCATGTGGCATTGACGTTCAGTATTTTATCAAAGAGTGAAATGTCTTTAATAATGTAAAACTTGGTATCTTACTGAAGGTGCATGCAGTATTTGGTATATTATATGAACCAATGATATTGGTGGTTGTCAGTGAAGGATAGGAAAAAGTAGGCAAAGATACCAAAGAAGTTATTTATGACTGGTTTATTTTTTTCTTGAGACAGAGGAAAGGTGGAAGGTGGTGGACAGTCCTCCAAGAAGGCAAGGTCCTCTAGTGTATCACTCAAGTTATCTTTGACTATTAAGCAAGGTACTGAGTGAGTAACGTAAGAGAATGTTATTCATGTTCAGTTGAAGAAAGTCTTAAAAATAAATATACCGCCATGCCATCGTGTAAAAACCGTTACTTACATGTTGAGGTATATTTCCTTTTAGACTATATAAGAGAGGCTTTTTAATTGTTTTTAAAGTGGCATCTATAGTGAATATAGGTGCATGTGCCTTAATCGATACACTGCGTATCGGTTGGCTATGATATTCAGGTGATGGAAGAGGAGAAATGATCATGCACCTTCCATCTGTCTTCAAGTTCCTTGTAGTGTAGGAGAGTTCACTTGAATCAGAATGTTGAATCTTGAAGGGACATAACTGATGTGGGTATGTAATTTGCTTCCTAGTGAATGACCTGAGGTATACCAATGCCACGTTTTTCATTACATTAGTGAACTCTTTTCCGTCCTTAATGCAGAAATGTAGACTTTAAGAGTACGCTTGGTGCCCAGAACATTTCATTTCACAAATTGAATCCTGTTTGGTAAATAAAGAACTAAAACAAAAAAGTTAAATAATTCCTAATTTTAGTTTTAAGTTGCTGTGTAATCAGATTCAAATTATTCCTGAAGTGAAAAAGAATGTATAAGTAGTTGATTAATTATCTATGCAACTCTAAAATTTGAAATGTTAAAATATTACCTGCTGATAAATTGTTTTGCATGTTTTAAGTAGCAGTCGATCATCTTATGATCACTATTGTAGAGAAAGATATTGAAGCTGCGTTGTGGCACTAATTCTTCATTGTTTTAAATGTCATCAGCTGTATATCATGTTTAAGAGATTTTAATTTTGAATACAGGAATTTTTTTGTGATCCTGAACTGGGGGGTTCTGTTCACAGGGACAGAAAACTGCCTTTCTGGTATTTTATGTGTAAAATTTATATGCAAGTAAATACTGTATTTTGGTGAGAACACTGGATGTCTTATTATGTTAGCTTTAGATTTAATGAACTAAAATATGTTTAACCACATAAGACCTTTTCCCATTCATTTCTTCCAATTTTATTCAGATAGTAGCAGAAAGGTGAAATCTCAAAATTGTATAAATGGAAACTACAATTTTGAGAGTTCACCTTTGCCCCCCACCATGTGCCATATCAATATTTGACGATACACACTTTTCTGTTCCTGTTCACATCATTTGTTGAAATGTATTATACAGTAGAACCTCGATATAACGCAGGTTTTGGGGGACAGCTTCAGTACACACGTTATATGTGAAATTTACGTAATCGTATTGGGGGACATGATTTCAGCCGCGGTATATTGAGGTTCCACTGTATTTAGGAAGGTTAAAGTTACACCTATTCAAAGTCGTGTCCATCTCGTGCACAATTTCCCCCACCCCTCCCCAGAACAAATTGCTGTAATTGGAAGGAGATGAATGAATAGTCCCAAGTACTCAGGGTTTTAGCACATGTATCAAGGGGATTAAATTTGTAACACAATGTTAACATGGACAACAAAGAATTACAAGGGAACTTTGAAGAATAAGTGGTATTTCTTTAAACATTTTTATTATAACACACATTCAGCTACAAAGATTCTAAAAGTGTTAATATGATGTTCAATTACACTGTTCCAGGTCTTTGTAAATTATTTACAGATATCACACAAACCCAAAATACTATACAATCAACAATCTAGTTCACAACTCAAATTTCTTTAGTGATCGCCTTCTGTCACTACAGGACCTTTCATCCCAGTGCCTACTGGACCATGGCGGCGTTCCCATATCATTCGATGTTTCTGTTTCATGTAGGCGTCTTGCACTCTTCCATAAGCACCAATATCACCATCTAGAATCAAAGTATTGCAAACCCATCACTTTTTAACGCTTTGAGGCTGAAGCTCATCCCCATATTTAAGAATTCAGTCTGAACTAGAAAGATAACACAGCACTTAGCTATTACAAAGATCAGCTGGTTAACGCTGTATAAGAAAATAATTGCTGTATATTATGAGAATTATACAAAACCCATGAACATACTCTGTAGGCAGAATGCAGAATCACCAATTATTAAATGATGTGGTACATAACATTATCACTGGGATTTAACAGTTGAAATTGTACCACACTGTGAACTTACAATGAAACTGCTATTAAATGTTGAATTTTTCATGCAATCACATGACATCTCCAATACCAAAGATTCCCCCTTCAAATACTAGGCTACATGTAAAGCAGACATTCTGTGGGATGCACAACATCAAGGGAAATATGAACTAAGAAAACTGACCTGTGTATGACAGAAATGGTAGGAAACTGACATAAGAGTACAGATTTTTCAAAACGTAACACAATCATAAAGGGTTCATCAATATGTACTCTGCAGCTTTAAGAGGTTGCTGAAATCCCATTAATTACAACTGTAACTGCTTTCTTAAAAATGTAAATACTTACACTTCATGAACCAATTTTCAGCACCCTCATTATACTGTTCCCAAATATGTTTGCATTTCACTTCATGATCGGGGGATTCGTATAAGACACAGTCTTCAAATCTTCGCCTCAAAATACTCAGAATTTCATTATCTACAAACCTATCAAGAAAAAAATATTTTTCTGACATCACTTCATTCAATAAAAATAATTGCTTCATGTATAGGAAGAGGCTAAGTTTGTCAAAGATTAAATAAATTAAAGTGACATGTGTTTATGGAAGTTAAACATGGAGACAAATGTATTCCATGCATCCTGTCACCACATCACTGAAGATGGAGTAGATAAGTCAGTATAGTGACTGACTATGGACTGGATGACCCAGGTTCGATCCACGACAGGGGCCAACTTAAGGATGAGATGGGTGCAACATGTAGTAAAACATAAGGGAGATACATACAAAATTTTGGTCAGGAAACCTGAAAGCAATTAGACCACTTAGAAGACTTCTAATTCAATACAAACTATGGCTATTACATTCAATAATAATAATAATACATGTAACACATATTAAAAACAAAATGTATTTTGGAAATAGCTGCTGCAATATGTATCTCAGGAGCAAGATTTGTCTCAGGTACATAGAAGAAAATACCCTATAAAGTGGTGAATAGATGGAATAATAACAACCTATTAGTACTAGCAATCACAAAATCATAATTTTATAATGCAAACACATAATGTACTCTGAAAATTGGTTAATTCATTCACATTTACAATTTAAAGAAGCCTAGAAAGAGGTATATTTCAGTAACCGGGATGGTGATGCTGTAGAAATGTTTTATTTTGTATCTATATTTCTATTCAATTCCAGCAGCTGCTGATACAACAGGCAATCCGCTAATTCCCTGTAACATACCTATCATTTCTGTATGCCTTATAAAATAAGCTTAATGATTTAATTAACTTATTATGGTTTCTTGACGATAAATACTTGTCTCGTTTAAATTGCTGTTGGGCTTCTTGTATGCACACAGGGTCATCAGTGTAGCATTCATCAATAGTTGGAACCCGTCGAAATTTTTGGTGATACCAGGCGTAATCGTTTTGATTCGGAACAACAATTTTCTCTGTAAAATTTAAATGTTTTAAATTGCGTACTTTATTTGCAAAACATTAAGATAAACACAGCGCAATAACGTCATTTCTAACCTCTAAACCATATTACTGGAGATTCAACAACATTCATTACACCATCAGCAAATCTAAATAATGCATTTCTTGCCCTTGGTGTATCTCCCATTATAAGTGAACAGAACTGTATAGATAAACTCCAAAATCCACAAGTTTCCTACAAAAATTACTCGCTTTAGGAATCCTCTTATTAAATACTACAATGCACAGGTTATTGTACAAAATTGTTCTTTACATCTGTGATCTTTAATATAGGTGTGAAATGAGGGAAGTGGTGGAATGGCTTCATGTTGGCAGCATTTACAATGTTGATCGCTGCGCTCTCTTCGGTTAAAAACATTAAGAAGTGATGTATATAAAGACGACGCGTCCTTGTAAACGATTTCTCTTCTGTGTCGTGGCTGAAAATGGTAAGTAGTGTCGAAGCGGAAGAATCTGTTTGCATCCTTTCAGCATTTGGGGTGTCTTAACTGCTAACTGCTTGTAGTTGTTTATTGTTTAGCACTTATTTTGCAGTAGTGTCGTAAGATTGGTTTTTATATTCGGCTATGGTGAAATTGATTGTAAAATTATCCCAGCATAGCATCTCGCTAATCCGGCTCAGACGAACTATCCAGTGTGCAAAACATATTTAGTAAGGAAGCGGGAACACTAATCTTTAATGTTCTAACAATCCAGCACACTTTGCACCGCATTGGGCTTGAGTGTAAAGAAAAGGTTTATTTAACGAGCTTTATATGTAGCGTTTTCGGTGAAGGTAAATAATGCAGGGAACCCCAGATGTTTTTGTGTACCTGAACTGAAAATTACATAGCTTTGTAATTAAATTCTTGATTATCTGCTAAAGAATAGTGATATATTTCATTAACGTGTAAACACCTCGTGGTCCCATGTTTTTTTTACGCCACGTGGTGTGAAATTCTAGGGCTCAAAAGTGGACGTTTCCAACAATAATGGCTGTTGCTGAAACGCACGAATTTTTTGTACATCTGCGTTGGTTGAAATGCGTAAAATTATGGGTTATTTTAATTTACAGTCTCATCGTAAGTTCAGCGCCCCACGTCATGGGTCTATGGGATTCTATCCCAAGAAACGGTCTCAAAGGCATCGGGGTAAAGTAAAGGCGTTCCCTAAAGACGACCCATCAAAGCCTGTCCATTTGACTGCGTTTATTGGC